AAAGTTTTTGAAAATAATTAAATTTTTTCGAATTCTATTGAAAATATTTCAATTCTCATAGGTAAAGAATTTAATCAAAATTTTTCAAAATAATTCAATTCTTTTTAAAAATTTTATTGAAAATAATTGAAATTTTGCTAAGAATTTTAATTAAAGTTTTTGAAAATAATTGAATTTTTTCGTATTCTATTGAAAATATTTCAATTCTCATAGGTAAAGAATTTAATCAAAATTTTTCAAAATAATTCAATTCTTTTAGAAAATTTTATTGAAAATAATTGAAATTTTGCTAAGAATTTTAATTAAAGTTTTTGAAAATAATTAAATTTTTTCGAATTCTATTGAAAATATTTCAATTCTCATAGGTAAAGAATTTAATCAAAATTTTTCAAAATAATTCAATTCTTTTTAAAAATTTTATTGAAAATAATTGAAATTTTGCTAAGAATTTTAAAGTTTTTGAAAATAATTGAATTTTTTCGTATTCTATTGAAAATATTTCAATTCTCATAGGTAAAGAATTTAATCAAAATGTTTCAAAATAATTCAATTCTTTTTATAAATTTTATTGAAAATAATTGAAATTTTGCTAAGAATTTTTTTCGAATTCTATTGAAAATATTTCAATTCTCATAGGTAAAGAATTTAATCAAAATTTTTCAAAATAATTCAATTCTTTTTAAAAATTTTATTGAAAATAATTGAAATTTTGCTAAGAATTTTAATTAAAGTTTTTGAAAATAATTAAATTTTTTCGAATTCTATTGAAAATATTTCAATTCTCATAGGTAAAGAATTTAATCAAAATTTTTCAAAATAATTCAATTCTTTTAGAAAATTTTATTGAAAATAATTGAAATTTTGCTAAGAATTTTAATTAAAGTTTTTGAAAAAAAAAGAATTTTTTCGTATTCTATTGAAAATATTTCAATTCTCATAAGTAAAGAATTTAATCAAAATTTTTCAAAATAATTTAATTCTTTCTAAAAATTTTTATTGAAAATAATTGAAATTTTGCTAAGAATTTTAATTAAAGTTTTTGAAAATAATTAAATTTTTTCGAATTCTATTGAAAATATTTCAATTCTCATAGGTAAAGAATTTAATCAAAATTTTTCAAAATAATTCAATTCTTTTTAAAAATTTTATTGAAAATAATTGAAATTTTGCTAAGAATTTTAATTAAAGTTTTTGAAAATAATTAAATTTTTTCGAATTCTATTGAAAATATTTCAATTCTCATAGGTAAAGAATTTAATCAAAATTTTTCAAAATAATTCAATTCTTTTAGAAAATTTTATTGAAAATAATTGAAATTTTGCTAAGAATTTTAATTAAAGTTTTTGAAAAAAAAAGAATTTTTTCGTATTCTATTGAAAATATTTCAATTCTCATAAGTAAAGAATTTAATCAAAATTTTTCAAAATAATTTAATTCTTTCTAAAAATTTTTATTGAAAATAATTGAAATTTTGCTAAGAATTTTAATTAAAGTTTTTGAAAATAATTAAATTTTTTCGAATTCTATTGAAAATATTTCAATTCTCATAGGTAAAGAATTTAATCAAAATTTTTCAAAATAATTCAATTCTTTTTAAAAATTTTATTGAAAATAATTGAAATTTTGCTAAGAATTTTAATTAAAGTTTTTGAAAATAATTGAATTTTTTCGTATTCTATTGAAAATATTTCAATTCTCATAGGTAAAGAATTTAATCAAAATTTTTCAAAATAATTCAATTCTTTTAGAAAATTTTATTGAAAATAATTGAAATTTTGCTAAGAATTTTAATTAAAGTTTTTGAAAATAATTAAATTTTTTCGAATTCTATTGAAAATATTTCAATTCTCATAGGTAAAGAATTTAATCAAAATTTTTCAAAATAATTCAATTCTTTTTAAAAATTTTATTGAAAATAATTGAAATTTTGCTAAGAATTTTAAAGTTTTTGAAAATAATTGAATTTTTTCGTATTCTATTGAAAATATTTCAATTCTCATAGGTAAAGAATTTAATCAAAATGTTTCAAAATAATTCAATTCTTTTTATAAATTTTATTGAAAATAATTGAAATTTTGCTAAGAATTTTAATTAAAGTTTTTGAAAATAATTAAATTTTTTCGAATTCTATTGAAAATATTTCAATTCTCATAGGTAAAAAATTTAATCAAAATTTTTCAAAATAATTCAATTCTTTTTAAAAATTTTATTGAAAATAATTGAAATTTTGCTAAGAATTTTAATTAAAGTTTTTGAAAATAATTAAATTTTTTCGAATTCTATTGAAAATATTTCAATTCTCATAGGTAAAGAATTTAATCAAAATTTTTCAAAATAATTCAATTTTTTTAGAAAATTTTATTGAAAATAATTGAAATTTTGCTAAGAATTTTAATTAAAGTTTTTGAAAATAATTAAATTTTTTTGAATTCTATTGAAAATATTTCAATTCTCATAGGTAAAGAATTTAATCAAAATTTTTCAAAATAATTTAATTCTTTTTAAAAATTTTTATTGAAAATAATTGAAATTTTGCTAAGAATTTTAATTAAAGTTTTTGAAAATAATTAATTTTTTTCGAATTCTATTGAAAATATTTCAATTCTCATAGGTAAAGAATTTAATCAAAATTTTTCAAAATAATTTAATTCTTTTTAAAAATTTTTATTGAAAATAATTGAAATTTTGCTAAGAATTTTAATTAAAGTTTTTGAAAATAATTAAATTTTTTTGAATTCTATTGAAAATATTTCAATTCTCATAGGTAAAGAATTTAATCATAATTTTTCAAAATAATTCAATTCTTTTAGAAAATTTTATTGAAAATAATTGAAATTTTGCTAAGAATTTTAATTAAAGTTTTTGAAAATAATTAAATTTTTTCGAATTCTATTGAAAATATTTCAATTCTCATAGGTAAAGAATTTAATCAAAATTTTTCAAAATAATTCAATTCTTTTTAAAAATTTTATTGAAAATAATTGAAATTTTGCTAGGAATTTTAATTAAAGTTTTTGAAAATAATTAAATTTTTTCGAATTCTATTGAAAATATTTCAATTCTCATAGGTAAAGAATTTAATCAAAATTTTTCAAAATAATTCAATTCTTTTAGAAAATTTTATTGAAAATAATTGAAATTTTGCTAAGAATTTTAATTAAAGTTTTTGAAAATAATTAAATTTTTTCGAATTCTATTGAAAATATTTCAATTCTCATAGGTAAAGAATTTAATCAAAATTTTTCAAAATAATTCACTTCTTTTTATTAATTTTATTGAAAATAATTGAAATTTTGCTAAGAATTTTAATTAAAGTTTTTGAAAATAATTAAATTTTTTCGTATTCTATTGAAAATATTTCAATTCTCATAGGTAAAGAATTTAATCAAAATGTTTCAAAATAATTCAATTCTTTTTATAAATTTTATTGAAAATAATTGAAATTTTGCTAAGAATTTTAATTAAAGTTTTTTAAAATAATTGAATTTTTTCGTATTCTATTGAAAATATTTCAATTCTCATAAGTAAAGAATTTAATCAAAATTTTTCAAAATAATTTAATTCTTTTTAAAAATTTTTATTGAAAATAATTGAAATTTTGCTAAGAATTTTTATTAAAGTTTTTGAAAATAATTAAATTTTTTCGAATTCTATTGAAAATATTTTAATTCTCATAGGTAAAGAATTTAATCAAAATTTTTTAAAATAATTTAATTCTTTTTAAAAATTTTTATTGAAAATAATTGAAATTTTGCTAAGAATTTTAATTAAAGTTTTTGAAAATAATTAAATTTTTTCGAATTCTATTGAAAATATTTCAATTCTCATAGGTAAAGAATTTAATCAAAATTTTTCAAAATAATTCAATTCTTTTAGAAAATTTTATTGAAAATAATTGAAATTTTGCTAAGAATTTTAATTAAAGTTTTTGAAAATAATTAAATTTTTTCGTATTCTATTGAATATATTTTAATTCTCATAGGTAAAGAATTTAATCAAAATGTTTCAAAATAATTCAATTCTTTTTAAAAATTTTATTGAAAATAATTGAAATTTTGCTAAGAATTTTAATTAAAGTTTTTGAAAATAATTGAATTTTTTCGTATTCTATTGAAAATATTTCAATTCTCATAGGTAAAGAATTTAATCAAAATTTTTGAAAATAATTCAATTCTTTTTAAAAATTTTTTTTGAAAATAATTGAATTTTTCCGATTTCTGTTAAAAATATATCAAAGTATTTAATCAAAATTTTTCAAAATAATTCAATTCTTTTGAGAAATTTTATTGCAAATAATTGAATTCCTGTGAAGAATTTCATTAAAGTATTTGAAGACAATAAATAATTATAATTAATTACTAAATTAGTTTAAAATTTAATTTTTTAAATTTTGAATTTGAAATTATTGCAAAATTGAAATTAATATTTGAAAATAAAAAATTTTCTTAATTTACATTAATTAATCATTTTAAAAATTTTATCCTAATTTTTTATAATTTATACAATTTTTATATTTTTAATACTTTTATCATTTTTAATTATTTGTGAAGTAAATTTTATCAAAATGAGTAAAATTGACTTCAAACGTAGTAAAAGTTTCTTAAATATTGTAAAATTATAACAAAAAATAGTAAAATATGATAAAAAAAAATCATATTTCTTCTTTAGTATTCTTTTATTCTAAAAATCATATTATTTTTTTCAGAACTGTTCATGAACACTTTCGGAAGCGGTTCTTTTTCAAAAAAATGACGCAGTTGATGACCCAGCAAAAAAAGATCGTATTTTTTTCAAAACAAAAATTAAAAAATATTCGACGCCAATGTTGGGGACTTATTTACCGCAGAAATGGACACGTGCAAAGAAGCTCGTTACTCGATGGGGTGTATGTATAAACGAGAAATAATAAAAAAAGGAAATGAAAACAAGAAATGAAACCTTAAGCGCCTGCGCTAAAAAGAGCGTCTGTTGTGAGGCGCTCACCATACAAAAGGACCCGGCTTCGTGTGTTTATGTTTAGTTTGAATCGAGCGCTCTTAACGAACGTATTGCAAAGAAAAAAGTGAATTTTTATCGTGAAGAAAGAATTATTTTCTTTTTTGGAATTTTAGCCGAAAAGAAAATGGCAACAGCACTTCTGAGAATGGGACTACGTACAGTAGTCTCGAAAGGTGTTTTTGAAAAAAGATCTATTCCAGCAATTGGAAACGCCCTCATTGATGCTGAGCGGCGTCATGTTCAACAAGAACAAAAATTACAAGTAATTATTAAATTAAAAAAATAATTAATTTTTTAGTTCGTTTATTTTGAATTTGAACTCTAGTTTTTGTTGATGTTTTGCAATTTTCAATCGGTACATTTTTCGCTTTTTTTAATTTGGATCCGTTTTCGTTACGTTTTCGTTTTTTCCCTATTTTTCAAAATTTAAAACACAATTTTAAATTTACAAGTAGCGTATTCTTTGAATTTGCGGAAACTTAATTTGAAAGATTAAAAAAAAATATGTTTTTTGCAACAAAATTTATTTTTTTTTTGCAAAAAAATCCCTTTTAAAAGTAAAAAGAAAATAAATTTTTATTCAAAAGATTTAAAAGAGCAATTTTTGAAAATAAATTCTTTTCGCCTGAAAATAATCGAAGGAAATAAATTTTTATTCTTTAGAAAATAATTCGAATTTTGTTAAAGTTACAAATTTTGGAGAAGAATAAATAAAAATTTTTTTAAATAGTTTCTATTGAAAGGAGAATCATAAATTTTGTTCTGCAAAAATAAATAAAAGAAACTCTCCAGTTGCTTCCTGAATATGCCCTGATTTGTCATCGAAGGATCTAGATATATAAAAGAACTTTTGTCCTTGTAATAATTGTTGAACAACCCGTATTAAAAAAAAAAGTAAATTCAAGGCAGACGAGAAATGCAGAAAAACCTTCGAATAAAGAGGATTAACAATTCAATTGAAATTTTTAAACATTTGCAAAATGGAAATTTTTTCCAATTCGATTTTTTTTCTTTGAAATTTGAATTTTGTTTTTCTAAGAATTAAAATACTTCCTTTATGTAAAAATTACTTTTTCATGTATCTGTGCGAATTTTCTGTTTTTGTTACGTGGGAAGTTCAAGGCGAACAACTGTAGTTTCTACGATAGCAAAAGGCCAACGATCCCATGTTATATAAATAGAAAATTGCATCCCTAATTTATTTTTGCACTAAAATTATATATCATTTAATGAATATGTATTCCTGTCCGGCTTGTCTGACTTTCAAAGTTCAACTTTTGCCCGTCAATTGTAAATTCCATGTATTCAAATGCAATTATTTTTTTCAAGTGCAATTTTCGAAGAATTAAATGCAAAATCAGTTTCAGAATTTAATTTTTTCTTTTCTTTTGGTTCGAATGTCCTTTAAATTTCGAATTTACGCGTCAATGTATCAATTTTCGAATCTTTTTTCTAAATTCGATTTGTGAAAATAAATATCTCGTGTCATTGACTCCAAAAATCTGAATTATTTTTTCGAGTGAATTAATTAATTTTAATTTTAATTAAAATTAATTAATTTTAAAAAAGAGTTTCTGTATTTATCTGCAAACTAATCGAAATCACTGGAACGTTCCGCTAGACTTCTTCTTCTTTCATAACGCGAAGCGAAAATGATAAATAGTTCACAAAGTCCAACAGTGGCTGTAGCAACCGGTCGAGCTGGTTTCAAATTAGGACAAAATCAAAAATCAAGTTTTTAAAAAGTCGAATACAATGAAATGTTTTGGTCCGCATTAATAATAATAACAAAAAAATATACCGTTATCTTTAAAAAAAAAAACAAAAATTGATTAGGAATAATTGATCAATTGTGAAAATCTCGAACATCTTGTCTGAGAAGAACTTTAATTTCTAGATTAGATTAAAAAATAAAATATTGCAAAAAGTACTTCGCCATTTCAAGTGCAGAAAGGGTGTACGTGCCAACTTGCAGGCATGGAATGTTCTATATACATATATATATATTTTCCCTTTGTATGGGAAAATAAAGACAAAGAGCGTCTAGAGTTTCGCGTGTCGGATATTGCTCGTTATATAATGTTGTGCTATCAATCAAGTCCCTCTTGGGCCCTTTCGAATTTTTAATTCAAGGCCATAAAGTCCTTTTCCTAGAAATTTAGGCAAAAAAAACAATTTTTTTACTTCCCCTTGCAGACTCGAATATTACGTAAAATTCTTAGTTTGACGAAATTATTTAAGAAAAATTTGCAAGAAAAAGAAAGAAAAAAATTGTGGCTAACTAGAAAAAAATTAATAAGTCAATTTTTTCATTAATTAAAAAAATGGGAAAGAAAAATTGCAATGAAACGGAAAATAACGAAAAAATGTGACTAATTAAAAAAGCGAGTTGTAAATAGAATAGTAAATAAAATGTAAATGTAAATAAATACTTAAATTTTGTAAATTCGAATTTTATAAACTTAATTTGGTAAAAAAATGAATTTATTTCATTTTTTTTACCAAATTGAGTTTAAAATTCAAATTTTTAAACTTATTTTAAACTTATTCGAATATAAGTTAAATAAATAATAAAAATTTAGGTAAATAAAATTAAAATTAAAATAATTCAGAAGTAAATAAACAAATGACGAAAATTTAAAAAAATGAACACTAAAATACATAATGAAAAAATAAAAATACTAATGAAAATATAAACAAATAAATAAAGAAGTAAATATACAAAAATAATAGAAATGTAACTAAATAAACAAAAAGTAAATAAAGTTTATAAATTCGAATTCCGAACTCAACTTGATAAAAAAGTAAAATTTGATTTTTTTGCGCTTTATTTATAGAAACCTAGTAAAAAAGTAAATAAATACAGAAATTTTGTAAATTTCAATTTTGAACTTAACTTCTGGTAAAAGAAAAGAAATTTGATTTTTTTGTTCCTTATTCATAGAAAAAAGTAAATAATAAAAATTTTAGGTAAATAATTGAATTAGAAAGTGAATAAACAAATAACCAAAGTGTAAATAAATGAGTAAAAAAATAAATAGACAATTAATGAAAATTTAGACAAATAAAAAAGTAAATAAATAAATAATTAAAATGTAACTAAATAAAAAAGTAAATAAATACTGAAATTTTGTAAATTCGAATTCCGAACTTGATAAAAAAAGAAATTTGTTTTTTTTTTGCGCTTTAATCATAGAAAAAAGTAAATAATATAAATTGTAGGTAAATAAATAAATTAGGAAGTAAACAAAAAAATAACGAAAATGTAAATAGAAATAAAAAATAGAAATAAATTTACAAATAATTAAAATCTGAATAAAAAAGTAAATAAATACTGAAATTTAATTTTGTAAATTCGAATTTCGAACTTGATAAAAAAAGAAATTTGTTTTTTTTGCGCTTTAATCATAGAAAAAAGTAAATAATAAAAAAAATAATAAAATAATTGAATTTTTGCAAATATTTTACTATCTAAAAAAATAATTGAATTATTTCGAAGGATTTATTAAAATTTTTGAAAATAATTGAATTCTTTCGTAAAATTGTATTAAAATTTTGTCGAAAATAAATGAATTTTGGCGAAGAATTTTACTATTTATAAAAATAATTGAATTCTTGCAAAGAATTATATAAAAATTCTTGAAAATGTAAACAATAATAATTAATTTTTTACTTAATGAGTGAATTTTCAATTTTTTTATTATGAAATTATTTAAAAATTCATGTTTGTAAATAAAAAATTATATAATTTGCATGACAATAATAAATTGAATATCTCGTTCCGCGCGTAACGTTTGCTTGTATAAATAAATAAAGAAGTAAAAAAATAAATAATAAAAAAGTAAATAATTACCTACTAAAATTTTGTAAATTTAAATTTTGAATTCAAATTTCCGTAAAGAAAAAAAATAAAAATAGTTTTTTTGCGCTTTATTCTTTACAGAAAAAAACAAATAAAAAAAATTGTAGGTAAATAAACAAATTAGGAACTAAACAGACAAATAACGAAAATGGAAGTAAATATGTAAAAAAAATAAATTTACAAATAATGAAAATATTAACTAATAAAAGAAATAAATGAACAATAAAAATGCAAATGATTATTAAAACATAAAAAATGCAAATTTAAAACTTAAAGTTATTGCTGGTAAAAAAGAAAAGAAAATTCTTCTTTGTTCTTGTAATATTTTTTCTCAGAAAAAAATGTGTGCTGTTGATTTATTTTCTTTCACTTTTAAAAGTAATTTAAAATAATTTTATTGACTTTTTTCTGCGTTTCTCTGCAAAAAGAAAAAAAAAAGAAAAAAAAAAAGTAGGCGCACTAAGTACCGTTTCGTTCATTGGCCTCGAGTTTTGTGTTATGTTTACCAATGAAGACTCTATCGGTTGATTACAGGTGAATAACGTGACACATTTATTTCCTTGCAGATTTTTAGTCGAGTGTTTTGTATAGAGTGGGATGCAGCTGTTTATAATTTGATAATGTATCATCACACTTGTATTGTGTTTATTTGTTAAGTGGCGAGCGAATTGCAAAATTCTTATCTCTGGACAAAACATATTTTATATAATTCAAATAGGGAAAAACGAGAAATTGTTTTTTTCATTTTATATTATTATTGTTATGTTATAGAGTATATAATAAAACTATAATAAAAAATGAAAAAAATATTTCTTGAATTTTTTTAAATAAAAAGTTAATAAACTCCAAAATTTAAAAAAACTCAAAAATTCAATTATTTTTAAAAAATTTAATAAAATTCTTTATAAATTTGGAAAATTATAATAAAATTGTTCATAGAATACAATTATTTTCGTAAAATATAACATTCTTCCTAGGAAAACAATTATTATTGTCAAACATTTTAGTAACAATCTTCGAAACAATTCAATTATTTCCGTAAAAAATAAAATTTTTCGAAGCATTTCAATTATTTAAGAAATTTTAATAAAATTCTTCCCCAGAATTCAATTCTTTTCAAAAATAAACATTTTCAATTATTTTCCATTTTTTCAATGAAATTTCTCGATGGAATTTAATTATTTTCAAAAAATTCTTAAAAATTCTGAAAAAATCAATTATTTAAAAAAATTTGAATAAAATTCTTCACAGGAAATTAATTAATTTCCTAAATAATAATATTTTTCTCCGGAATTCAATTATTTCCACAAATAAAATTCTTTACAGGAATTCAATTCTTTAACAACATTTTTAATAAAATTCGTTGCGAGAATTCAATTATTTTCATAAAGAACAAAACTTATCGCAGAATTTCAATAATTTTTTATACAATTTTAAATAAAATGATGAAAAATTGCATTTTTTCTTAAAATTTTTTTTTAAATTCGCCGAATAGGAAGAAATCTATTATTTTTTAAAATTTTGATAAAATTCTTTATAAAAATTCAATTTTAAGAAATATTCAATTAGTTTATAAACGATTTATTTTTGTTTTTGTATTTAAATAATTGAATTCTCGAATAATTTTCTAAGAAAAATATTGATTAAAAAATTAATTTCATTAAAATTTTTAAATTATATTTTCACAGTAAATCATTTTTTTGAAAAAATTTAATCAAATTCTTCGTCAGAATTCAATTATTTTCAAATTTTTTAATTAATATTCTGGTTGAAATGTAATTATTTTCAAAAAGTTTTCAATAAATTCTGAAAAATTCAATTATTTAAAAAAATTTGAATAAAATTTTTCAGAGGAAATAATAATATTTTTCTCCGGAATTCAATTATTTTCACAAATAAAATTCTTCACAGGAATTCAATTCTTTAACAAAAAATTTTAATAAAATTCGTTACAAGAATTCAATTATTTTCTTAAATAGCAAAATTTATCGCAGAATTTCAATTATTTTTCATACAATTTGTAAAAAAATCATAGAAAATTACATTTATTTTTATTTTTTTTAAATTCACCGATAAAAATCTATTATTTTTAAAAATTTTGATCAAATTCTCAAAAAAATTCAATTTTAAGAAATATTCCAAATAGTTAATAAATTATTTATTTTTGTATTTAAATAATTGAATTCTCGAAAAATTTTCTAATAAAAATTGAAATTAAAAAATGAATTTTACAATTTTTAAATTATAATTGAGTATTAAAAGCCTATAACGTGAGTTTTTAGAAAAAATTGTATTTTTGAAAAGGTTCCAAATTAAAATAATTGGAAAACTGATTTTTCATTTTTTTAACTAACAATTTTGTAGATTTAATTTTTATGAAAAAATTTAATTGAATTTGATTTTTCAAATTATTTGAAGGTTTTGTTTGAATTTGAAAATCTTAATTTTTATAGAAAAATAATAATGATTAAATATTTATTGAAAAAAGAAGTTATTGATGTTTTCGAATAAATTTACAATTAAAGGAATTCGTAAATTATTAATGTAACATAGAACCTTTTGAGTATCTAATTATTTTTGGAGTAAATCAGAATATTTTTCAGGGTCAGGGCAAAAAAGTCAAAATTTTGTCTGGAAATCAGGAAAAAATTAGAGAAAAAGAAAATTAAATTTTTGTGTCAACCCTAAAAAATAACAATAAAAATAATTTAGAAAAAATTAGACCCAAAATAGAAAGAAATAAAAATTAAAAAAAATATAAATGAATGAAATTTTAATGCGCAATTGAAAGAGTAGAAGAATAATTGAATTTAAACAAAAAAAAATATGGTGCGTAGTTTTCTTTTTAGTCGAGGGTCCCTACTGGAAGAGGGACAAAAGAATGTTTGCAATTTTTGAAGGGATCGATTTTTTAACACACAGCTGCTAACGCACTGTCCCTGTTGAGAGATTATGTTATATGTTAAGTCGCAAAAGCTCGACGGGAACAAGTACATCGGGTGAATGCACTGCATTGAACTACCTGTGTGTCTTACTTTCACAATTATGTAAAAAATGCTGACACATAACGAAAATGAAAAAATCGCTTCTGATTAAGTCTAGATGAAGCAATTTTATTATCGTAAATATGACAAAGTCAGAGCATTTAAATCTAATATGCGGAAAAAATTTACACAAGAAAATTTTACTACTCTCATAGTCCGATATTCTATTATTTCTAAAAATTTATTGAAAATTTATGTAAATATTTGTATTTTCATTTTTTTTCATTCAACAATATCAACAGATTAAAAAATTGTTCTTTATAATAAAATAGTAAAATTTATTGCGAAAAAATTGAAATTTACTTTTTTTACAAAAGTAAATTTTACTCGAATTTCAATTTTTTACAGAAGTAAAGTTTACTCGAATTTAAATTTTTTACAGAAGTAAATTTTACTCGAATTTAAATTTCTTACAGAAGTAAAAATTTTTCTCGAATTTAAATTTTTTATTTTAGTAAAATTTACTCCGAAAGAAGTAGAATTTCCTAGAAAAAAATAAAAATCTTTAAAAAATGGAAAAAAAATTGCTCCAAAAATGCAAAGAAATTTCCCAAAAAATAAAAATTTACTGCTCTTTGAATTAAATTCATTGTACCGTTTGTAAAAAAGTAAAACAATTATTTCTTTTCTATTTACAACTTTAGTTCTCATAATAAATATTTAAATATAATTTAATTAAGTATTAGTTTATTAAATTATTTATTTTTCTGCTGTAACATTTTTTTTTACTCAAAAAGAAATTTTACTAAAGAGAGAAAATTTTTTTACTAGAAATGAGAAATCAAATTTATCCAGAAAAATAAATAATTTAATAAATAAATTTACATTTAATTTATTAAATTGTTTATTTTTCCAGTGCAAAATTTTTTTATTGAAAGAGAAATTTTTCTAAAGAGAAAAAAAAATTTTTTACTAAAAATAAATTATCAAATTTACAAAAATTAATATTTTAAATCTTTATTTTTCAGTTTGCTGTAGCAAAACATTACATGAGCAGCAAGAGGAACGTTCATCATTCCAGAGCTACAGCATCATTGGACGAAGAATCCGACAGTGACAGCGATAGTGATGATGAACAAGAAAGGGTAGGTCACAATGTCAAGATTAGTCCACAAAAATTAACGATAACAATAATTACAATTTCTGAGAAAATTTATTTAAAAAAATATTTTTTTTTCTCATTCTTTTGTGTTTCTAACAAAAAAGTTATTTTTCAAATTCAAATTTTTGAGAAACAAGTAAATTCCGATTTATTATTAATAATTATTAATATTATTTGATTAATTAATTAATTTAAGATTAATATTATTTAAATATTATTTATTCATCATTATTACAATTAATTAAATAAAAGTAAAATCCATTTCAATAATTTATCAAAAATTTTGAAAATAATTGAATTACAGAAAAAAATTTTATTTCTTTATGAAAAGAATCGAATTCTTCCAAAAGAATTTTATTAAAATTGTACTCAAAAAAAATTTAATTCTTGGCAAGAATTTAATTAAAATTTTTAAAAATAATAATCCATTTCAATGATTCATCAAAAATTTTGAAAATAATTGAATTCAAGCAAAAAATTTTATTATTTATGAAAAGAATCGAATTCTCCCACAAAGAATTTTATTAAAATTGTACTGGAAAAATTTAATTCTTAGCAAAAATTTAATTAAAATTTTTGAAAATAATTAAATTGTTTTGAAGAATTTATGTGAATTTTTTTAAAAATAATGTTTTTTAATCATTTTTATTAAAAATGTTGAAAATTATTGATCAGAATTTTTGAAAATAATTAAATTTTTTGGAAGAATTTTATTAAAAATTTTGAAAATAATTGAAAGTATAGGTAATCGAATAATTTTATTAAAATGTATTAAAATAATTAATTTTTCTTAAGAATTTTATAAAAACTGTTGAAAATAATCGAATTCAATTAATATTTTTAAAAATAATTGTATTTTTTCTAGAAATTTTATTAAAATTGTTTTTAAAATAATTGAATTCCTCCGAGGAATTTTACGTTTTATGAAAATAAATGAATTCTTACAAAGAATGTTATTATTTTTGAGAATAATTGAATTGTTTTGAAGAATTTTTGAAAATAATTGAATGTTTTGAAAGAATTTTATTAAAAATTTTGAAAATAAATGAATTTTAAATCGAAATGTTATTAAAAAATTATTTTTATCGACAAAAATTTTTTCAAAAATTACTGACTGTATTTAAAATCGGAAACGTATATTAAAAATTTTAGAACTTTATAAATTATTTCTGAAGGGGAAGATACACGAATACTTTTAACTTTATCATGAAAATATTTTAAATATTCCATAGAATTATTTTTATCGTAATTTTTGTTTCGAAGAAGTAAATGGGCATAAATTAAAATTGATCAGAAATATTTTGACCCTTGTTGAATTTTTATTTTTCTAAAATTTGATAGATTTTGATTTGAAATTCATGTGTAATTATTTGTAGAAAATATGTTTTCATATATAAAAAAAAAAAATTCCGAATGAAATATTTGATTTTTCATAATTATTTTGAAAGCGTTTTTTAAAAATTGTTTTTAAACAAAAAATTCTAAAAATACTATTGAGTTATTAAATTTTTTTTATTCGTAAATTTATTTGTTTATTTTTCTAACAAATTTCAAATCGTAATTTTTATTTCAAGTAATTTTTTTTCTATTTATAACTTTAATTTTCATAAAAATTGAAATTGAATTTGTTTATTATCACTTATTTTTCTTGTGTAAAATTTTTAATGTTTTATTTTAATTTTTCAGAATTTTTCACGAAACAATTGTCAATTCATTTTAAATATTCAATTTAAATATTCGATTTTAAACAATTCAATTCATTTCAACATTTTATTATTTTTCTTTAATTTATTTTAATATTTTAACATTTTTAATTTAATAAAATTAATTCTAATAATTAAATTTATTAAATATTCTTTTTATTTTTTATATAAAAATAAAATAATATTAATAATAATACAAATAATAATAAAAATTCTGATAAAAATAATAACAATACAAAATATCTTCTTACTTAATTTTTCAGGAACTAAATTATAAATTGCATGATAAGATAAATGAAATTCGATTTTATCAAAATAAAAGCTGTCTGTCTGATTTTAATTATAAATTGGCAAAACGTTCATTTAAATATATTATGTTCCGTTATGTGTCTTTTAGTAAATAAATATTATAATATAAAAATTAGAACGAAAAATGATTTATTCAGTTATTTAAATAATTTATTCTCAAATTAAAAGTTGATAAATATTTATAGAAGTTTAAATTTTCAGTTAGACTATTTAATAAATCATGAGAAATAAATTCCGGTGAAAATAAGTCTTGTATTAATTGTTGTAAATCATTTTTGGATCAACATATTGTTTTATTTTGCACTTTGTACTTTTTTTTATTATTCACAGTGCTTAAATATTGTAAAGAAGAAAATCCTGTACTCGTAAAGTGTGCGACTAATATAAGAACTTAGATAATCGTTCCAATTATCTTTTCATGTCAAGGCTGCTAAATTTATATTGCAGAACATTTTGTTTAACCGATAAATATTATGTTTACGCTGACTTGAAAATATTTTGAATTTTTGTGAATGGCGAAAAATAACAATGATAAATGTATGTGTTTTTTTTGGAATGTTGGAAAAGAAAATTTTATTTTATTATGTTAACTATTTTTTTTTCTTTCTAGACTGAATCAAATTTCTGGAGAAGAAAGATGAGGACGCTTCATAGTCACTTGGATGTCAATAAAGACGGCGTTATTAGTTACGACGACTTTATGCTGCTTGGAGAAAGATTTGCGAATCTGGGACATTTGACGAATGAGGAGAAAAAGGAATTCCAACATGTTCTTAATGTAAGAAGATTTTTTACACTTCTTGTAAATGGAAAAAAATTTCTTCTTTTTTGGACGTCAGTCTAAAACACGTTTGAAAGAAGAAAAAATAATTTCTCTCCGGAAAACAATTCGATTTCTTGCTTAGAAATTTCTTTTTCTAAATTATAAAATTAAATACCTAATCTGATCAATTTCATGAGCAGTAATTATTGATCAAGAAATTATATATTTTATATACAATAAAAATTGAAAAATATAAAAAATATTTTTCAACTAAATAAGAATTTTAATAGAAAAATATTTTTTCTTCTAAAATTGCTGACTATGAACTTTGTAAATTTTAAAAACATTTCTTATGGGAGTGAAATCCGTAACGTTTTTGAAAGCAAAAACAAAAAAATAATTCAAAAAATTTATTTTATTTTAGCATTAAATTCATGTTATATTTTAGCACTTTTCTTCTAAGTAAAAATTGTATTCAATATCTAGTATTTTCAAAAAATTTCGCAAAAGAGTTCAATTATTTGAAAAAAAATTGATGAAATTTATCAAAAAATTCAATTATTTTCATAAATAATAAAATTTCTACAGGAATTCAATTAATTTAGAATAACATTTTCAAAAAAATTTCGAGAAAATCAATTATTTAACAAAAATATTATTATTATTATTCTTTACAATAATTCAATTAATTTCACTAATAATAACATTTTTCATGGAAATTCAATTTTTTAAAAAAATGTTTGATAAAATTCTAAGCAAGAATTCAATTATTCATAAATTTACAAAATTTTTCACAGAAATTAAATTTTTTTAAAACATATTAATAAAATTTTTCGCAATAATTCAATTATTTTCATAAATAATAAATTTCTTCCCAGGAATTCAATTATTTTTGAAAATTTTAATGAAATTCTTTGAAAATATTCAATTATTTTCATAAATAATAAAATTCATCGCATAAATTCAATTATTTTTGAAAATTTTAATTAAATTCTTTGAAACTATTTTATTATTTTCATAAATAATAAAATTCCTCGCAGGATTTCAATTATTTTAAATACAATTTTACAGGAATTGCTCAAAAAATGCAATTATTCTTACAAATTTAATTTCAATTTCTCGAAAAAATCAATTATTTAAAAAAATGTTTTTTAAAATTCTTTGGAAGAATTCAATTATTTACAAAAACATTAAAATTTTTCACAGGAATTCAATTATTTTTATAAATAACAATATTCATCACAAGTAATAATTTTTTTTTGAAATTCAATTATTTTCAAAAATTTTTATAAAATCGTTCGCAAGCATTCAATTATTTTCCTAAATAATAAATGCTTTTTAGGAATTCAATTATTTTCAAAAAGATTTAATAATAAAATTCCACACAGATATTCAATTGTTCTCAAAAATTTTAATAAAATTTTTTGTAAAATTTAATTATTTTTAAAAACTTTTTGCAGTTCAATGTTTTTTAATATCTACTATTTTCATAAACTTTTCCAAACAGAATTCAAGTGTTTAAACGTTTTTTATTAAATCTTTGTAAGAATTTAATTCTTTTCATAAATAATAAAAATTTCTCAGGAATTCAATTATTTAAAATAGAATTTGCATAAAATTAGTCAACAGAAGTCAATTATTTAAAATTTTTTATAAAATTCGTCGCAAGAATTAAATTATTTTTATAAATATTAAAATTCTTTGATGAATAACTAAATTCGTTGCAGGAATTCAATTTATTAGCAGGATAAGTAAGAAGGAAATATTTTTTATGAAAATTAAGTCTGTAAGAAGTCTAAAAATGTAAATTTTAATTTACTTTCTTCGAAGATGATTGAATCATAAAAAATTATGATAGAACAAGTCTAAGAAATATCTTTTCAAAAATATTGTAATGTAATTTTTCGAAAATAATTGAATTTCTGAAAAGAATTTTTTAATAAATTAAAAAAGAAAACTAATTAATTTTTTTAAGAATATTAAAAATTTTGAACATGAATAATTTCTCTAAAATATTAAAAATAATTCTAAAAATGTTAATCTTATTATTTTTGGTATGATTTTGAATTTCCGGAAATATGTAATTTAAAATATTGAAAATAATTGAATTTTAATAAATAAGTATGAAAAAAATATAAAAAAATTCTAAGGAAGTTACTTTTTTTTAAAATTTTTAATTATAATTTTTAGAAGCTAATTTTCATTTTTAAAATTTACACTTAAAGATTTTTTATTAAAATTTTTGAGAATTCAATTATTTTCAAAACTTGGAAAATAAAATTCTTCAAAAGTCGATTTTCAAAAATTGTAATAAAATACTTGAAACAAATCAATTATTTTCAATTAAATTTTACAAAATTTCAATTATTCAAAAGTTTTTTAATTGTATATTTCGAAAATTTAATTAGAAAAATTATTCAAAAATAATTATTGAAAGATTTGTCTAAAGTTATTTTTCACTTTATAAAAACCGAAATAAAATGCATTTTTTTTTACTAAAAATGTGGTATTTTCTTGCAATATTTGGAAGAAAAGTTGAAAAATTCGCAATTTTTAAAAATAAATCGAAAAAAGTCGCATTTTTTAAAAATTGTCGAAAAAAGTAAAAAAAATCATAATATCCGAGGTCTGCCATTTTAATTATTTTTGTATATTGGTTGAAATGATTTTTAAAAATAATTGTATTAAATTGTCATTTATTTTGTTTTAGGAAATATGGGAAGAACAGTGGGGAGAAATAAGTCCTTATAATCTCATTGGTGTGGAACAATACCTCGAAAGAATGCACCACGTTCTTGAGGATGAATCTTTGAAAAAGAAATGTCACAACTTCCTTCCTTTCCTCTTTAAAGTAAGCCACATTATTTAAAGTACAAATAATTTTTCGAAAAATTTTAATTCATTGTAAAAATAAAAATTATAATTTTTACAATTAAACGGATCAATTTTAATTTCTAAAATGAAAGTTTCTCTACATGAAGTATTTTTAAAAAATACGAGTATAATTAAATACCTAATAGTAAATTCATTCAATAATATCAATTTAATTTAGAATTTAATTAAATAATCGTACTAATTAAAGAATGGTAATTTAATTAAATAATAGTAATTTTATTAAACAATATCAATTTTATGAATGAAATAATAATTAAATGATTGAATGAATGAAATAAATATATTGAATTTACATTTTGTTTTAGGCTGTTGACAGAAACAACAATGGCGAAATATCAGTACAAGAATATCAATTATTCTTCGAGTGTCTTGGACTCTCACATGATGTAAGAACAAATTATCTTTTGTTATTCGTTGCATTGTTTGAATTTGAATAAATAACTGTCTGAATAATAATACATGAGCAATTTAGAAGATATTAATTGTAAATTAATTATTAAAATTAACGAATTAGCGGTGAATCAATTATTAAAATTAGTAAATTACTTAACAACAATTAATTATTTAAAATTATAAATTATTAATAAATTAATCATCAGTAAATTAATTGTTAAACTTACTAAAGTAATCAACAGTAAATTTATTCGTAAAATCAAAAAATTAACTAGCAGTAAATTAAAAATACTAAATACTAAATATTTAAAAATATTAATTGTAAATATATTAATTATAAAATATTAAATTATTTAAAAATATTAAATTATAAAATACTAAATATTTAAAAATATTAATTCTAAAAATTTTTTATTAATTTTAAATTGTAAAAAAAATGAAAATTAAAAATAGGTTTCAATTTCAAAATTTTAATTTCCAGGACGCTGTAATAGCTTTCAGTCACATTGACCAAGACGACGATGGAAAAATCAACTTGAAAGAATTCGTGAAACATGGACGTGAATTTATCGTATCTCATGATCATTCAAAACCCAGCAAGTATTTTTGGGGACCACTAGATGACTGAAGAAATTTACATTCTTTTATATAAGAAAAAAAATTGTGATATTTACATTTACGTATAATTATACCACACCTGATTTCGAATGTAGTCCATTAGCTATGTAAGGTAGTTCTAAGTTATTTGTAGGCGATTTTTTTATACAAAACACTCAAATAAACGACTGAAAATCATCTTTTTTTCGAATTTATTATCACCAAATAAAACCAAATGTTAGGTGCTGAACGCTGAATTCAATTTATTGTGCACATTTCAATTTTTTTTTATTTTTATAAATATCTACTTCAATGTCTGAATAATTTCAGATTCAAAATAATTAAAATCAGAAAAATATATTCTATTCTTAAAGTTAAAGAATTATAACATTTTTCTTAACAAGCGTTATCTTTTAAAATTAAAAATAATTTACTTTAGAAAATAAAACAATTTTTAAATTTTTCTTGCAAAAATAGTAGCAGAAAACATATTTTCTAATTCTCTGGATTCATAAAAATTAATAAAACTAATTAGAATTAATGACTAATATTTTGAGTTTGAAATAGTTAAGATTTATTAATAAATAAATAGATTTTAAAAAATATTTATTAACATATAAATATTAAATAGTAAAATTTAATAAACTCAAAAGCGAAAAGTCAGTTAAAAAATAAAATTATGAACGAGTTTTATATAAATTCTATAAATTCTATTATTTTTTAGATAAAATAAATATTAATATAAATTATAAATTAAAATATAAATTATATAAAATAAAATATAAATTGAAATATAAAGTTTTAAATTTAATATTATTATAATTATAACTATTATATATTCTGACATAGGGAATTCAGAGAAAAGTCAGGAATTTTTGTGAAAAGTACTGAAAGAAATTAAATTTTTAGAATTCATAAGAAAATTCTGAATTTTTGTGTCTTTTTTGCTTAACTTATAAACTATAAAATTACGATAAATTCTAATACAAAATCATCAATTTCTTCAATTTTCATAAATAAATGAACTTCAAACGGTTTTAATTTTTTGAAATTTTATAAAATTTCAATGTTGAATGAATTTAATTAGAAATTTTAATGAGATTCCCTACCAATTGTCCTAATGAACTTAGATTTTTGAAAAATTTTATTAATTCAAATTCTTCGAAAATTAGTTAAATTTGTCAATATTTATTTAATTACTTATTAAAAATAATGGATTTATAGAAGAATTTATATTCAAAACAATAAAAAAATTGAATTTTGAAGAAGTTACAAATGATTACTGAAATTCAATTATTTTCAAAAGTAATAAAATTCATATCACAAAATTCAATTATGTTCAAAATTTACAAAAAAATTTCGACAAAATCCCAATTATTATCTTTATAAATAAAAAAACTCTTTTTCACAATTTAATTATTTTCAAAAATTTTCCCCAATTCAATGATTTTCAATATCAACTATTTAAATAAAATTTTTCAAAAGAATTCAATTATTTTAAAAAAATTTTGATAAATTTCTACGCAAACATTTCATTATTTTCATAAATAATAAAAATTTCACAGGACTTCAAATATTTACAAATTTTTTATAAGTTTCTTCTTAATAATTCAATTAATTTCTGAAATAATAAAACTCATCGCATAATTTTAATTATTTTTAATACAATTTTAATCAAATTCCTCGAAAAATGAAACTCTTCTAAAAATTTTTATTAAAATTCGTCAAAAGAATTCAATTATTTAAAAACTTGTTAATAAAATTCTTTAGAAGAATTAAATTTGAAGAAACATTCAATTATTCAATAAATAATTTATTTTTTTATTTAAATAATTGAACTCTCGTAGAATTTTCTAATAAAAATTGATTAAAAAATTAATTTCATTTTTATTTTTAAATTAAATTTTCACAGGAAATCATTTTTTTTGAAAAAAATTTAATAAAATTTTTCGTCAAATTTCAATTATTTTTAATTTTTCAATGAAATTTCTCTACGGAATTTAATTATTTTCAAAATTCTGAGAATTTAAATTTTTTAAAAGAAAAATGAATAAAATACTTCACAAGAAATTAATTATTTTTCATAAATATAATAATATTTTTCTCTGGAATTCAATTATTTTCACAAATAAAATTCTTCATAAAAATTTAATTCTTTAAAAAATTTTTTAATAAAACTCGTTACAAGAATTAAATTATTTTCATAAATAACAAAACTTATCGCAGAATTTCAATTATTTTTTATAAAATTTAAATAAAATGATAGAAAATAATATTTTTCTCCGAAATTCATTTATTTTTACAAATAAAATTCTTCACAGGAATTCAATTATTTAAAAACTTGTTAATAAAATTCTTTAGTAGAATTAAATTTGAAGAAACATTTAATTATTCAATAAATAATTTACTTTTTTATTTAAATAATTGAATTCTCGTAGAATTTTCTAATAAAAATTGATTTGAAGATGAATTTTATTTTAAACTAGCCAAACTATCCGCGCGCAAGCGCGCGGGAATGTTGTATGGGGCTGCTTATTTTAAACAATTTAAAAAATTTTAAAGAAATAATTATTATAACCTAACAAAGAGATTTATCTAACTAAAATTCAAATAATTTCACTCAATGGTCTCAATTTAAATAGAATTTACAATACTAGACTTAAACTATGGCTAGAACAATTACAATTAGTATCTGGGTCATCTTTTGCATTGCTTATTTTATAAAGCCATTTTAAATTAAATAGGGGAGAGTAGTCAAGGTTGAATAGGTGGTCAAGGTTGGATAATATGGCGCTTATTTCGTTTTATCACATAGTGACACCAACTTTTTTACAATGTTTAGCAAAAACATTGCATTTTGGTAGAACTTTCCAATAATATAAGAGGAAATCGTCAAATTCGGTAAACAGGAGAAGTTATAGAAAACAGTCAGTACCTGATCCAACCTTGACTACACTCCCCTACTTTTTAAAGAAATAATAATTATTACACACTGAAAAAAGTTTTACTTGAAATAGCGATAAGTTTCTCTAGAATAACGAAAGTATTAATTGAAGCACTGAATAATTTCGCTACTAAAGTGAAATCTGTAGTTCATCCAGCTAAATATTTTTTGCCGTGCATAACGAAAAAAGAATTAAATTAACATCAGATTTTCTAAATTAAAAAAAACGAATTAAAATAGAAATTAATCATTTTACGACTTAACCAAATTCACCCCAGAAATCACTGAATTCGATAATTTAGAAGAAAGTCAGACAAAAGCAGGGTTCCTACAGAATCTGGAAATCATGGAAATCATGGAAATGGTATGGAATTTTTAAAAGGCTTCTGGAAATCAGGGAAATCATGGAAAAGGCCTGTAATTTTTAAAAAATTCTAAATTTTTTCAGTTTTCCATTTTTTCTCTTGAATAAAAATACAAATAATAATAAAGCTAAATGGTATAAAAGAGAAAAAAAATGTTGAATTTTAAGAAATTCAATTTTTCGGATTTTTGATAATTTTTAATAATTTTTTATTTTTTTCCAAAGAGTCGAGACAATTTAATAAGTAAAGTATTTATTAAAAGCACAAAAATAATGAAGCTAAATCCTATAAAAGAGAGGAAAAAATGTTGAATTTTAAGAAAATCGGATTTTTGAATTTTTTCGAATTTTTGATAATTTTAGATTTTTTACCGAAGAGTCGAGACTATTAAATAAGTAAAGTATTTTCCAAAAGCACAAAAATAATGAAGCTAAATTCTATAACAGAGAGGAAAAAATGTTGAATTTTAAGAAAATCAGATTTTTGAATTTTGTCGAATTTTTGATAATTTTAGATTTTTTACTAAAGAGTCGAGACTATTAAATAAGTAAAGTATTTTCCAAAAGCACAAAAATAATGAAGCTAAATTCTATAAAAGAGAGGAAAAAATGTTGAATTTTAAGAAATTCGGATTTTTGAATTTTTGATAATTTTCATTAATTTTAGATTTTTTAATAAAGAGTCGAGACAATTTAATAAGTAAAGTATTTTCCAAAAGCACAAAAATAATGAAGCTAAATCCTATAAAAGAGAGGAAAAAATGTTGAATTTAAAGAAAATCGGATTTTTGAATTTTTTCGAATTTTTGATAATTTTAGATTTTTTACCAAAGAGTCGAGACTATTAAATAAGTAAAGTATTTTCCAAAAGCACAAAAATAATGAAGCTAAATTCTATAACAGAGAGGAAAAAATGTTGAATTTTAAAAAAATCGGATTTTTGAATTTTTTCGAATTTTTTATAATTTTAGGTTTTTTAATAAAGAGTCGAGACAATTTAATAAGTAAAGTATTTTCCAAAAGCACAAAAATAATGAAGCTAAATCCTATAAAAGAGAGGAAAAAATATTGAATTTTAAGAAAATCGGATTTTTGAATTTTTTCGAATTTTTGATAATTTTAAATTTTTTACCAAAGAGTCGAGACAATTTAATAAGTAAAGTATTTTCCAAAAGCACGAAAATAATGAAGCTAAATCCTATAAAAGAGAGGAAAAAATGTTGAATTTTAAGAATATCGGATTTTTGAATTTTTTCGAATTTTTGATAATTTTAGATTTTTTACCAAAGAGTCGAGACAATTTAATAAGTAAAGTATTTTCCAAAAGCACAAAAATAATGAAGCTAAATCCTATAAAAGAGAGGAAAAAATGTTGAATTTTAAGAAAATCGGATTTTTGAATTTTGTCGAATTTTTGATAATTTTAGATTTTTTACTAAAGAGTCGAGACTATTAAATAAGTAAAGTATTTTCCAAAAGCACAAAAATAATGAAGCTAAATTCTATAAAAGAGAGGAAAAAATGTTGAATTTTAAGAAATTCGGATTTTTGAATTTTTGATAATTTTCATTAATTTTAGATTTTTTACCAAAGAGTCGAGACTATTAAATAAGTAAAGTATTTTCCAAAAGCACAAAAATAATGAAGCTAAATCTTATAAAAGAGAGGAAAAAATGTTGAATTTTAGGAAATCAGATTTTTGAATTTTTTCGAATTTTTGATAATTTTAGATTTTTTACCAAAGAGTCGAGACTATTAAATAAGTAAAGTATTTTCTAAAAGCACAAAAATAATGAAGCTAAATCCCATAAAAGAGAAGAAAAAATGTTAAATTTTAAGAAAATCGGATTTTTGAATTTTTTCGAATTTTTGATAATTTTAGATTTTTTACCAAAGAGTCGAGAGTATTAAATAAGTAAAGTATTTTCCAAAAGCACAAAAATAATGAAGCTAAATCCCATAAAAGAGAAGAAAAAATGTTGAATTTTAAGAAATTCGGATTTTTGAATTTTTGATAATTTTCATTAATTTTAGATTTTTTAATAAAGAGTCGAGACAATTTAATAAGTAAAGTATTTTCCAAAAGCACAAAAATAATGAAGCTAAATCCTATAAAAGAGAGGAAAAAATATTGAATTTTAAGAAAATCGGATTTTTGAATTTTTTCGAATTTTTGATAATTTTAGATTTTTTACCGAAGAGTCGAGACAATTTAATAAGTAAAGTATTTTCCAAAAGCACAAAAATAATGAAGCTAAATCCTATAAAAGAGAGGAAAAAATGTTGAATTTTAAGAAAATCGGATTTTTGAATTTTTTCGAATTTTTGATAATTTTAGATTTTTTACCAGAGAGTCGAGACTATTAAATAAGTAAAGTATTTTCCAAAAGCACAAAAATAATGAAGCTAAATTCTATAACAGAGAGGAAAAAATGTTGAATTTTAAGAAAATCGGATTTTTGAATTTTTTCGAATTTTTGATAATTTTAGATTTTTTACCAAAGAGTCGAGACTATTAAATAAGTAAAGTATTTTCCAAAAGCACAAAAATAATGAAGCTAAATTCTATAAAAGAGAGGAAAAAATGTTGAATTTTAAGAAATTCGGATTTTTGAATTTTTGATAATTTTCATTAATTTTAGATTTTTTAATAAAGAGTCGAGACAATTTAATAAGTAAAGTATTTTCCAAAAGCACAAAAATAATGAAGCTAAATCCTATAAAAGAGAGGAAAAAATGTTGAATTTTAAGAAAATCGGATTTTTGAATTTTTTCGAATTTTTGATAATTTTAGATTTTTTACCAGAGAGTCGAGACTATTAAATAAGTAAAGTATTTTCCAAAAGCACAAAAATAATGAAGCTAAATTCTATAACAGAGAGGAAAAAATGTTGAATTTTAAGAAAATCAGATTTTTGAATTTTTTCGAATTTTTGATAATTTTAGATTTTTTACCAAAGAGTCGAGACTATTAAATAAGTAAAGTATTTTCTAAAAGCACAAAAATAATGAAGCTAAATCCCATAAAAGAGAGGAAAAAATGTTGAATTTTAAGAAAATCGGATTTTTGAATTTTTTCGAATTTTTGATAATTTTAGATTTTTTACCAAAGAGTCGAGACTATTAAATAAGTAAAATATTTTCCAAAAGCACAAAAATAATGAAGCTAAATTCTATAACAGAGAGGAAAAAATGTTGAATTTTAAGAAAATCAGATTTTTGAATTTTTTCGAATTTTTGATAATTTTAGATTTTTTACCAAAGAGTCGAGACTATTAAATAAGTAAAGTATTTTCTAAAAGCACAAAAATAATGAAGCTAAATTCCATAAAAGAGAAGAAAAAATGTTGAATTTTAAGAAAATCGGATTTTTGAATTTTTTCGAATTTTTGATAATTTTAGATTTTTTACCAAAGAGTCGAGAGTATTAAGTAAGTATAGTATTTTCCAAAAGCACAAAAATAATGAAGCTTAATTCTATAAAAGAAAGGAAAAAATGTTGAATTTTAAGAAATTCGGATTTTTGAATTTTTGATAATTTTCATTAATTTTAGATTTTTTAATAAAGAGTCGAGACAATTTAATAAGTAAAGTATTTTCCAAAAGCACAAAAATAATGAAGCTAAATCCTATAAAAGAGAGGAAAAAATGTTGAATTTTAAGAAAATCGGATTTTTGAATTTTTTCGAATTTTTTATAATTTTAGGTTTTTTACCAAAGAGTCGAGAATATTAAGTAAGTATAGTATTTTCCAAAAGCACAAAAATAATGAAGCTAAATTCTATAAAAGAAAGGAAAAAATGTTGAATTTTAAGAAATTCGGATTTTTGAATTTTTGATAATTTTCATTAATTTTAGATTTTTTAATAAAGAGTCGAGACAATTTAATAAGTAAAGTATTTTCCAAAAGCACAAAAATAATGAAGCTAAATTCTATAAAAGAGAGGAAAAAATTTTGAATTTTAAGAAAATCGGATTTTTGAATTTTTTCGAATTTTTGATAATTTTAGATTTTTTACCAAAGAGTCGAGAGTATTAAATAAGTAAAGTATTTTCCAAAAGCACAAAAATAATGAAGCTAAATCCCATAAAAGAGAGAAAAGAATGTTAAATTTTAAGAAATTCGGATTTTTGAATTTTTGATAATTTCCGATAATCTTAGATTTTTTACCAAAGAGTCGAGACAATTTAATAAGTTAAGTATTTTCCACATTAAAAAGTTTGACATTAAAAAATATATAAAAAATGCCAATACTTAACCCACAAAATTAAATTTTCCAAACAAACAAATGAATGCAGATAATTTGCTAACGGAAAGGAAACTTACGATTATTATAATTATGTATATGTATATGTATATTTCTATTTTCTATCAAAACGTATAAAAAACAAAAGAATAACTATAACTAACTTCAAGTGTGGACAGAGATCCGTAAATCTGGAATCACGACGATTATTATATATAATTTTAGATAAAATAATAGAATATGAAAATAATTTTTAAGAAGTTACAGTAACAATATTTTCTTATAATATAAAATCATGATTTTAACACTCGATCCTCTTTAATTATTATAAAAACAGGAAGACATCGATTACTCCGAGTCGAAGACTCGGAGTTACCGATTTCTTCCTGTTTTATAACAATATTTTTAAAGTTGATTAATTTCAAAAAGATTTGAATTTGAAATTTTTAAAAATCTTAATTCATGTAAAAAGTAATAATAATTAAATATTTAAAATATTTATAAAATAAATTTTTTTAATTCTTCATAGAACAAGGCATTAAAATAAATAAATTCCAGATTTTCTTAATAAAAAATAAAATTTCTCTATTTCAGAATAATAAACACCTAATCTTTTAAGAAGAAAAATGTATTTATTTATTTATAACATTTATTTATATTATCAAAAACTTGGAAAAAAAGCGAACAAAACAACTAATTTCAAACTGCGGACGAACATCCGGAATACAACGATTATTGCAGGTAGGAAATTGAAGATTATTAAAAAAAGGAGTGATAGGATTTGCGTAAAAAATAGACTCAATTTTCAAATTATAAAGTAGATTTAATTAATCGAGCCTTACAACTAGACAAAATATCTAAAATTTATTTAAATTGAAAATCACAATAGTATCTTATCTCTTCTTTGACCTTTTTAAAAGGTTTCCTTCGCCTGCAAAGGCTTTAAACTCATTCGGGTCTTTAGTCTGCAAAAAATATTGAAATTATAGAAAAAAATATATTTTCAACTTTTAAATGCAAAAAAATATGAAATTTTTCCAAACATGAATTTAAATCTAGTAAAATCGGTATTAAAATATAATTTTCTACGATTAAAAAATTTTCATGCAAATAGAGATTTTATATTAATTTAATTTTGAAAATTTTCATGATAAAAAATTTGTCTCTAAGGTTTTGAACGTTAATGAACTTTCTTTTACTCTTTTTCAATTTGTATCTTATTATTAAAAAAATTATTTTGTTCCTTAAAAAAATTAATTTTTGTAACTAAGTAAAGTTTAATTTACACTATTTTTCAATTTTAATATAATAATTTTGGAAAATATTTAATCAGAAAAAAAATTTTCGTTTATTTTAACGTTCAAAACTTTAGAGAAATAAAAGAAGAAGTTAAAAAGTATTTTCATATATTTTAATAGCAAAAAAATAATTAAAAACTATTAAAATATGAAATCCTTTCAACCCATTTTTATTGTTACAGATTTTTACTTTGTGAACTATTTTATATTTGAAATACAAAAAAGTTGAAGTTCAGGATTGCCATAGATCACATAAGTCAGGGGATTCAGGGAAATGGCAGGAATTTTTTTAAAAAGTACTGAAAAAATTACGTTTTTAGAATTCATAAGAAAATTCTGAATTTTTGTATCTTCTTTCTTTAACTCATAAACCATAAAATTACCACGAATTGTAATACGAAACCTTCAATTTTTTCTATTTCTGACAATAATTTCCTTTTTTAAAATTAAAATAAAATTCTTGACAAAATTTCAATTATTTTCAAAAATTTCCCTCAATTCAATGATTTTCAATATCTATTTTAATATTATTTTAATAAAAAATTTCAAAAAGAATTCAATTATTTAAATAATAATTTTTAATAAAATTCTACCAAAAAATTTAATTCTTTTCACAAATAATAAAAATTTCACAGAAATTCAATTAATTTACAAATTTTTTATAAATTCCTTCACAATAATTCAATTATTTTCAAAAATAATAAAACTCATCTCAGAATTTCAATTATCTTCAATAAAATTTTAATCGAATTTCTCGAAAATCGTAATTAAAAATTTTATTAAAATTCGTCGAAAGAAATCTATTACTTGAATATTTGTTGATAAAATTCCTTATGGGAATTCAATTTTAAGAAACATTCAATTTTCAATTTTGAAAAGGTTTTAAATTATAATCTTTGAAAATCTGAATTTTTCATACTTTTAACTAACAATTATTCGGTAGAAGAATTAATTTTTTTAAAAGTTTAATTGAATTTTACTTGAAATTATTTTTTTTAATTTTTATTTTCTAATAATATTTGATTGAAGAATTTCCAAATAATTGAAATTTTGTAAATTGTAAACAAATGAATTTGAAAATTCTCAAAGAACTTTTTCAAAAATTATTAAGAACATTGGATTTATAGATGAAATTTAGATAAAAACGTTTTTTAAAAAATTAATTTTTCTAGAAGATTTGATTTTGATTTGTTTTTGCATTTAAAGAATTGAATTCTAGTAGAATTTTCTCGTAAAAATTGATTTAAAAATTAATTTCAGTTAACATTTTAGATTTTAATTGAATATTGAAAAGTTTAATTTATTTTTTTCTGAAGTTATTTCAAGCTCTTATTTTTTAATATAAATTTATATTTAATTGAAGAATTTCCGAATAATTGAAATTTTGTAAAATTGAATTATAAACGAATGGATTTGAAAATTATCAAAAAGAACTTTTTCAAGAATTATTAAAAATAATTGATTTAAAGAAAAATTTTAGTTAAAATTTGTAAAAAATAATAATTGAATTGAAATGATGAAAATAACTTTGAAAATCTATTTTTTTGGAAAAATTGCAATTGGAATTTTTTTTGAAATTATTTAAAGCTTTTATTTTTTAATATATATTTAAGTGAAGAATTTGCGAATAATCGAAATTTCGTAAAATTGAATTGTAAACAAATGGATTGTAAATAAATGGTTCTCAAAGAACTTTTTCAAAAATTATTAAAAAATAATTGATTTAAAGAAGAATTTTAGTTAAAAATTCCAGAAAATAGTAAGTGAATTGAAATGATGAAAATAATTTTGAAGAAGTTAAAGTAACAATATTCTTATAAGTTGTTAAATTTAAAAAAGGTTTGAATTTGAAATTTTTGAAAATCTTAATTCCTGTGGAAAAATAATTATTTTAAATAAAACTATTGATGTTTTCGAATAATTTTACAATGATAGAAATTCGTAAATAAATGTTATAGAATATTTTTTTGAGTATCTAATAATTTTTAGACTGAATCAGAATATTATTTAGTGTCTGGAAAAAAGTCAAAATTTTGACTGGAGATCAGGGAAAAGACAGGGAAAAACAAAATTACATTTTTCTAGTAGCAACCCTGATATTATTCGTTTGAACTTTTACTGCTATTTGTCTTAAATCTCTTTTATATATAATTTTTATTAACTTTAGTTATTAATTTAATGAAAACATTCCCTAAAGTTCTAAACGTTTAAATGAAGGAAATTTATTTCTTCTTCAAATTTAAATTTTATTACAATAATACTGTGTCAAATGTAAAAAGAATATGGTTCTAAGTGCTTTATTTATTTATTTAATTTTAAATTTAAATTTAGTTCTTTATTTTGTTCTTGCTTTTTATTGCAGACAGATTTCGCAAAAATTTTCATTCAATCGAACGTTCAGAACTTGTGGACATAAATAAATGAATTGAAACTAAAAGACTAAAATAAAAAATTCAGTAAATTGAAGAATACCTCTTTGTTATTGATTGGTTTGGAATTTCGCAGAAATTTGAGCGTTCCTATTTGATAATCGTAATCGGGAATACCACGAACGTAAGTCGATTTAACATTCGTTTGCTCGGCAGGACTTGAATCCTCTTTCTTCTTCTTCTTTCCATCGAGTCTATTTCCTTGACCCTTAAATGCAACGAAACCTAAAGGCTCAGGCATAAGATCATCGGGATTAACATCGTGTTCTCCCTTTGCAACAGGCTTTGTTGGCTCCTTGTAGCCAACTGGTGGTGCAAATTCAACATTCATGTCACACTCGATAATACTAACAGCCGGTCCTGGTTTTGTCTCTAGAACGCACATTTCATATATTCGCTGATTGTATTTTATTGCAACAATATCACCAGTTGTTAGACAAGCAAAACTTCTCAGTCCATTTTCAAGAACAGCTTTTGGATTTGAAATATCTAGAAAGTCTTCGGATTGTGGTTGAAAGCGAGCGTATGTCGCCACAGGTAGAGAAACAAATTCCACGTTTATTATTTCACCTTCGTCCAAAAATAAATTGTGCATCATCTAGAATATAAAAGGTAAGAAGGTTAAAAAGGTAAGAATTATAAAAATATATAATAAAGTCTTTAACGTCCGTGTGGTTTTAATAATAAGATAAAAACGAAGACATTCAAACATTAAAGAATCTTTATCTGAATGTCTTCGTTTTTGACTTATTATTAAATAAATATAATTATAAAAAAATTCAGGGATCACAGTACCTTTTTTCTTTAGAATAGAAGAAAAGGTGAATTATTTTATAAAAATAGGTGACTAAAATAATATCATGAAGTAAAGTTAAGTAAGAAATTTGTATTTATTGAGATTTCGACTGATTTAATTTTTTTTTCATAATTGAAGAATAAAAAGTTTAAAATTTATTGATAGGACTGACAATTTTTTATAAATAAAAATTAGGAATAAATAAAATTTTGACAAATTGAAATTTAGAATATTTTTGAAGTAAGGACAGCAAGTTACGTCCCTAAAGTTCTAAACATCTAAAACGAAATTTATTTACAAAAAAAAATTATTGTAAAAGTTCGTTGTTTATACTCTTCATTATGTTTTTCTTTATAAGTTATTCGAGTAAATTATTGAAAATATACGTAAACAAAAATATTCAAAATAATTGATTTTAAAAAAATTATATTAAAAAAATTCTTAAAATTAGATTTTTAAAAATATTTTCAAATAATTTTTGACAAATAAAAAATTTTTCAATTACATCTATAATTCAAAAAAATTCAAAATAATTAAAATTTAGTCAATTTTTTTAACACAATTGGATTTTTTAAAAGAAATTTAAGAAAATGTTTAAAAATAGTTAAGTTCTAGAATAAATTTAAATACAATCATGAAAATAAATTGTATCTCCGAAATTTTAATAATAAGACGAAAAAAAGTGGATTTTCTAAAACATTTTCTTATATTTTTTATAAAAATAATTAAATTTTAAAAAATAATGATAAAAAGTTCAAAGAATTAGTTTTTTAAAAATATTGTAATGTAACTTTTCCAAAAAAATTCAGTTTCTAAAACGAGTATTTAAGCAATTTAAAAATTCATCAATTTTTTCACGAATCTTTTATTACAAATTTTGAAAGTAATTGATTTTTCAGAATTTTAATAATAAGATTAGATAAGTAGATTTTTTTTAAAATTTTCTTATACTTGTTTATAAAAATAATTCAATTTTAAAAAATTATATATTATAATGAAAAAAATTGTAATTACTTTTTAAATAAATATTTTAACAAATCTTTAACAGATAATTTTCATTAAATTTCATTTTCAAATTATCATTTGAAGATTTTTTATTGAAATTTCAATTATTTTCAAAATTTGCAATTGAAATTCTTCAAAATTTGATTTTCAAAATTTTTAATGAAATACTTAAAAAAATCAATTATTCTCAAAAAAATTTTACAATATTTTAATTATTGAAAAACTTTTTAATCATATAACTTGTAAATTTAATTTATTAAAAAAAATTACTCGACAATAATAAATATGCTAGAAAAATCGAAATAAGTTGCATTTTATACCAAAAAAATGTTATTTTGTTACAATATTTTAAAAAAAAGTCGCATTTTTCTGAAAATAAGTCGAAAAAGTCAAATACTATTCGAGGCCATTTTTTCCTAAAATTTAAATAGATAAAAAAATATATAAATAAAAGTTTGAATTGAATTTAACTTTGAGATGAATTAAAATTATAATTTTAAATCGTTTAAAATTTAAAACAGAATTTGAGATTAATTTAAAAAATAATGGAATTGTAATTCTAATGATTAAAAATTGTGACGAATTAAATAAAGAGTCAAGGAAAAATTTAATCAATGAATGAAGTTAAAATCACAGATTGTTAAAATAAAAATTACAACTAAAATTACAAAATATAAATTTTTAAAAATTCAACTTATGATTAAAAATAGAAAATATATAAAAAAAGTAAAATTATAAAAATAAGTGTGAAATACGTGACAGAATTGAAAAAAAAGGTGACAGTCTGTAATCCCTGAAAATGTATTTTTATTTTTTTTCATTGAAATTTGAAAAAATTGTTTCTCATAATACCCAATATGGTAGATAAACTTTTCCCTCGTCGGCAACAAACTCTAAAACTCCACAGTGTGTAATTCTGTTGGTTTTCTTATTTGTTAGTTTAAAAAGCATTGGATAGACGATATTCAGTCTTGTCAATGTGTCCAGAGCTGAAGGTGGCATTATAACTGTAGAAAAACAATTTGTAATTAAATATTTATGACGTAAAAAGAAATACAATACATTTGAATAAAATAAAACCCGTTTTTTCAGACCTTGAAAAAAAGGAAACAATTCAGTTTAATTTTGAGTTTGAATTTAAACAAATTTTCGTAATTTTCTATTTTTTATCGAATAGACAAAAAATTCCAATATTATCATCATTATTTGACAATATTATGGAATTATTAATTTTTAATAATTTTCCGAAAGTTCTTCGAGAATTCAATTATTTCAATACAAAAATTCAATTTTTTATAATAATTGAAACTGTCCATTTCTCTTTTTAAACATAAGGTAGAATATTTTCAAAAATTTTAGTAAAGAAATTCTTAAAATTAATTTTTTAAAAATATTTCTCAGTATGCAATTTTTGAAAGACAATATTTTTACGATTATATACAATTAAAAAATGTCCAAAAAATTGAAATTCGTTCAAATCTTTTAAAAAATAATTGAAATCTGGTAAAATCTTTGAAAAATAATTGAAATTTGGTAAAATATTTTCAAAATAATTGAGTTTTTAAAAAAATATTTTAAAAAAGTAATCAAATTTTTGAGGAATTTTAATTAAAAATGATTTTTCCAAAATTTTAATAATTTTAAAACAGTAAATTTAAAAAAATTTTAATTTACTTTGTTCGAAGATGATTGAATCTTACAAAATTATGATAAAACAATTCGAAGAATTAGTTATTTAAAAAAATTGTAATTTTGTAATTTTTTCGCAAATAATTGAATTTTTAAAAGGAATTTTTTTATAATTTAAAAGAAAAACTAATTAATTTTTATATTGAAAATAATTGAATTTTAAAAAATTAGAATGAAAAAATTCTGAGAATTAGTTTATTCAAAAATATTTTAATATTATTATTATTTTCGTAATTTTCTATTTTTTATCGAATACAGCAAAAATTACAATATTATTATCATTATTTGACAATATTATTGGAATCATTAATTTTTAATAATTTTCCGAAAGTTCTTCGATAATTCAATTATTTCAATACAAAAATTCAATTTTTTATAATAATTGAAACGGTTAATTTCTGTTTTTAAAGAAATTAAGGAAGAATATTTTCAAAAATTTTAATAAAGAAATTCTTAAAATTAAATTTTTAAGAATATTTCTAAATAATTTTTGAAAGACAATATTTTTACAATTACATACAATTAAAAAAAATGTTCCTAAAAATTAAAATTTGTTCAAATCTTTTAAAAAATAATTGAAATTTGGTAAAATCTTTAAAAAATAATTGAAATTTGATAAAATCTTGTAAAAAGTTTTTTAAAAATATAAAAAAATAATCAAATTTGTGAAGAATTTTAATTAAAAATGATTTCTCCAAAATTTTAATAAGTTGAAAAAAGTAAATTTAAAAAAAATTTTAATTTACTTTGTTCAAAGGTAATTGAATCTTAAAAAATTATAATAAAACAATTAGAAGAATTAATTTTTTTATAAAAATTGTATTGTAATTTTTTGAAAATAATTGAATTTCTAAAAAGAATTTTTGTATAATTTAAAAGCAATAATGTAAGCCCGTTTATATACTAAATAAATAAAAATTAATTAATTTTTGGAGAATTTTATATTGAAAATAATTGAATTTTAAAAAATTAGAATGAAGAAATTTAGAGAATTAGTTTATTCAAAAATATTTTTATATTATTATTATTTTAATTTTATGTTTAAATTCAAACAAATTTTCGTAATTTTTTATTTTTTATCGATAGGAGAAAAAATTCCAATATTATCATCATTATTTATGTCAATATTATTGCAATTATTATCATTATAATTAATTATTCTATTATCAAAATAGAAATATTATTCTATTATAAAGATAAAAAAATGATTTTATTCTCAAAATAATAATATTATTCGTAATCAAATAATAACAATAGTAATAATAATGAAAATATGGAACTGATGAAATGAATCGAATGAATCGTATTGTATATGTATTATGAATTGGAGACAAAGGCCATTGTTTATTCGAATACTCACTTTTTCCACCTCGTTCTACATCTTGTCTTTCGTTTCCAGGTAACATGGACACGGAAAAACATTTATATTGAGTATTAAAAGGTCGAGGATTGTCTGGGAACATATTAAAACCAAACTGAAAGTTGAAAGTCATTGTGATCACAGTAAAATTTAACCTCCAAAGTTGATAGAAATGCAATTAAAACAATATGATTTCGTTGACAAGAAGGACTTTTTTTGTAATCAGTTTATCATTTTTTTCATTTATATTTGTCACTTTCTTCGATTTACAATTTTAGACTCACGAAAATTTATAGAAAAATGGAAAAAAATACTAATTCTCTCTTTCTCTGAGAAGTTTTTTTGTTGTATACAAAATAGAGTAAATCTGGAGTAAATCTTGCTACTTCTGAAATGTCAGATATCTATCAGTACTAGCAGACAACTTTTTTGAACATGCGCAGTTTCTCACTAAAAGAAACGCTAAACATTGAAAATTGAACTATAAAATGGAATAACAAATAATTTTCTTTTCTCTCATAAATATTCAATTTTTTAAAGATTTATAAAGATAAACGAGGAGAGAAAAAATTGGTAATCTATTGATTTTTTCGTCCTTTCTGATCTGAAAATTAGAATTTGTTTTTGAAAAGTCTAGTAATTTCGTTTGTCTAGTAATAAAATAAAGTCTCTAGATTCTTGCATACGTGTATATATGTATATGTTGTCATATGTACATATGTTATATGTGTATACATATATCGTCTCTCACGATTTGCTTGTTTGCTTATCAGATATATGTATACCTGTCACTTTCATAAATGTAAACTTTTCAATTTTTTGAAATGTTAAGATTAATTTTTTATAATTTTTTCATGAAAGACTAAAGTAGTGACTAAGTGAGATCGATTTTTGTATCCAGTTTGAATTCGAAGGTGAAAGCAACACTCATACGATACGATCTTCTCCTTTCTGAGAGACATAACCTTGATTTTAATGAATTCTCGATTTCGTATATGTGTAATTCTACTTCAACATTACAGTTTACATGTTTCAATGAAATCACTCGTTTCTTTCTTAATTATTCTTCATTTTGCAATCTTCATTCTTTGATTATGTGTCTAAGAAAAATTTTTTCATTATAAGATTTTCGGTTATATTCGTTATATTCTTTATACAAAATTTCTTTCTTTTAACAAAAAAGTGTTTTTTTTTATTGTAGATAAATAATATTCTAGTTTTTTTTTATAAAAAGTGTCCTTTTATTGTAGATAATGGCTGTGTCAATAAATGAAATTTGTGAAAATACAAAATTAGCGAGAGAAATGGCTCTGACTGGTAATTACGATACATCTGGTGTTTATTATCAAGGAGTTGTTCAACAAATTCACAGGCTACTTGCCAGTATTGTGGATGTAACACGAAAAGCAAAGTGGCAACAAGTTCAACAACAAATTGTACAGGAATTTGAAAAAGTTAAAGCAACTTCGAATACCTTGCAACTTTTTAAAGTTGATTCTCAAACGGAACGTTTGCTGGGTAAATAGATCGTTTGTATATTTTAATATTGAAAATAATTCTATTTTTTTCAAGATTGATAAAATAACAGAAAAGGAGCAAAGTTTTCCTCTGAATAATTAAAAACTATTTCATTTACATTAAAAATTTAGTCTTATAAAATTATTAGAACCAAATTATTATGTTCCTAAGTTCTGAACGTTCAAATGAACAAAATTTATTTATTTCTTCAAATTAAATTTTTTTTCTATATTTCTGACAATAATTTCTTTTTAAATAAATTAATTCTTAAGAAACTATCATAAAATCATTACTTATAAATTATTTAATGAATAATTTTACTTAAATGATTTAAAATTGATTGAATTTTAAAAGAGTTTCGTTCAAAATTTTCATAAATAGCTGAAATTCAAAATGTTTTAATTTGAAAATTTATAAAATTTCAATTTTCAATGAATTTATAAAATTAGAAATTTTAAAGAACTTACATTTTTGAAAAATTTTAATAATTCAAAATCTTCTGAATTATTAATCTTCTGAAATTAGTTACATTTTTTAATATAATATATTTAACTAATTATTAAAAATAATGGATTTATATAAGAATTTTAGTTAAAAACACTAAAAAAAATTGAATTTTGGAGAAGTTACAAATGATTGCAAAAATTCAATTATTTTTAAAAGTAATAAAATTCTTTGCAGAAATTCAGTTATGTTCAAAAATTAAAAAAAAATTCCTCATCGAAATTTCAATTATTTTTATAAATCATAAAATTCTTCTCCAAAATTCAAAAATTCTCCTCAATTCAATGATTTTCAATATCTACTATTTTAATGAAATTTTCAAAAGAATTCAATTATTTAAAATAAATTTTCATTATATTCTACTCAAAAAGTTAATTATTTGCATAAATAATAAAAATTTCACAGGAATTCAATTATTTACCATTTTTTTATATATTTTTTGGCAATAAATAAGCAATAATTAAATTATTTCCATAAATAATATTTTTTACAAGGATTTGATAATAATTGTATGTTTATAAATAATAAAACTCATTGCAGTAATTCCGATTATTTTTAATACAATTTTAATCAAATTTGTCGAAAAGTATTATTATTCTTAAAAATTTTATTTAAATTCGTCGAAAGAATTCAATTATTTGAAAATTTGTTAAGAAAATTCTTTATGATAATTTAAAAATTTTTAAAAAATTTTAAGAAACATTCAAGTATTCAACACACAAATTATTTGTTTTTGCATTTAAATAATTGAATTCTCGTAGAATTTTCTAATAAATATTGATAGAAACATAAATTTCAGTTAAAATTTGAGATAATAATTGAATATTAAAAGCATCATATCATGAATTTTTAGAAATAATAGAATTTTGAAAAAGTTTTAAATTAAAATCTTTGCATATAAAAAAATTTAATTTTAGAGAAGTTACAAATAATTGCAAAAATTCAATTATTTTCAAAAGTATTAAAACTCTTTGCAGAAATTCAATTATGTTTAAAAGTAAGAAAGTTTTTCGCAAAAATTCAATTATGTTCAAAAATTTAAAAAAAATTTCATGGAAATTTCAATTATCTTTATAAATTCTAATAAAATTATTTTCAAAAATTTTAATAAACTTCTTATCAAAATTTCAATTATGTTACAAAATTGTATAACAAATTCTCGTCAAAATTCCAATTATCTTTATAAATAACAAAATTCTTCTTAGAGATTCAATTATTTTCAAAGATTTTAATAAAACTCTTGACTTTCAAATATTTTTAAAAATTTTCCTCAATTTAATGATTTTTAATATCTACTATTTTAATAAAATTCTACTCAAACATTTAATTATTTTTATAAATAATACAAATTTGACAGGAATTCAATTATTTACAAACTTTTAAGAAATTTCTTCGCAATAATTCAATTATTTTCATAAAAAATAAAACTCATCGTAAAATTTAAATTGTTTTTAGTACAATTTTAATCGAATTCCTCGAAAAATGTTATTATAAAATTCGTTTGAAAGAATTAAATTTTTTAAAAATTTTGTTCATTTTTATAAGAATTTAATTTTGAGAAATATTCAATTATTCAATAAATTATTTATTTTTCTATTTAAATAATTGAATTCTGGTAGAATTTTCTAATAAAAATTGATTTTGATTCAATTATTTATTATTATTAAAATTTTAGATAATATAATTGAATATTAAAAGCATTATAGCGTGAATTTTTAGAAATATGTAATTGAATTTTGAAATGGTTTTAAAATAAAATCCTTAAAAATCTGAATTTTTCATACTTTTAAGTATTAATTCTATAGAATTATTTTTTTTTTAAAAGTTTAAATGAATATTTTGTGAATTTATTTAAAGTTTTTTTTTCTAATACATATTTATTTGTTAAGAATTTCTAAATAATCGAAGTTTGGTAAAATAGATTTGAAATTTCTCAAAGAACTTTTTCAAAAATTTTAATTAAAAATTCTATAAAAGAATAATTGAATTTAAATGATGAAAATAATTTTGAAGAAGTTACAGTAACAATATTCTTATAATATAAAATAATGATTTTATCACTCGGTCATCTTTTAATTATTATAAAACATAAATATCGATTGCTCCGAGTCAAAGACTCGGAGTGATCGATTTCTTCATGTTTTATATCAATTTTTTTTAAGTTGTTGAATTTCAAAAAGGTTTGAATTTGAAACTTTTGAAAATCTTAGTTCCTATGAAAAAATAATGATGACGAAATGTTTATTTAAAAAATAAATTATTAATGCTTTCGAATAATTTTACAATTAAAGAATATCGTAAATTAATGTAATAGAACATTTTTTTGAGTTTCTAGTCATTTTTACCAAGTTGAAGTCCACAACGTTGATCAACGAAAAAAAATTGTTCACTAAGTAAATTAATTAAAAATTACGCAGCAATATTGACAAAAAAATATTTAGAAAAAAAGGATTTATATTTATGTTTTGATAATAATTATTTTACAATTAAATATACTTAAATGTACTTCAACTTCGTTCATTTTTAGAGTGAATCAGAATATTCTTTAGGGTCAGGGTAAAAGTCAATATTTTGTATGGAAATCAATGAAAAGTCAGGGAAAGACAAAATTAAATTTCTGTGGCAACACTGAATAATTTTGCGTCACGAGTAAAAAAAATAAATTATCATGATTCTGAATGTGAAATTTAAGTTAGTAGCTTTTTTTGATTCAGTAATTTCTGGAAATAATTTTTATAAAAAATATTTTATTCATTTGAACGTTCAAAAGGATCATAAATTATTTTAAAACAATAGTATATTTATTCTTAAGCAAAAATGAGCTAAAAGATTCCACCTTGTATTTTATTTTTGTGTTTAAAGCTAAAATTTTTACTCAAATTGAAAAAATAAAAAATTTGTTTAAAACGTTCAAGTTTGAAAATTAATTGATTTCTTTGCGGCAACTGGAAAATTTATGGATTATAAATAAATAAGAAATGAATTTTTGTCCAAACAGACAGAATTTTTTTTTAATTAATTAAATTATTGTTTTCAAATTATTATTTGTTTGAACTGTTTTTCAACTAATTTATTTTGAAATTTATCTTTGCAGCAACTTCTTGTTTGTCATATGAGGAGCCAACTCGCGATCCTGCTTACTGGTCTGGAGGAAGTTCAAGTGCCTGGAGCCAATCGAATATTCCTCGGGATCCTGATGTCTGGCCACCTTTAACACCAGCAGAACAAAAGTATTAATTATTATCTATTATTTATTTGTTACATTTACGGAATTGTATAAAATACCCAAAAACTTCTTTTTATAAAAAAAATTCATTTATTTTTAAAGAATTAATTTAAAATTTCAAAATATTTAAAAATCATCTTGTATTGTCCCTGAATAGTCTCTAAAGTTCTGAACGTTCAGAATTTGTCCTCATTTCTTGAAGAGAATTATTTTCACCTCGAAATTTATTAAAACCACTAGTCCAAATGTTTTCTTTTTTTATTAATCTAATTGTTATGATTACCAAAAATCCCTAATTGTAATTTAAATTATTTTAATTTATTTTATTTTAATTTAATAATCATCGTATTTACTTCGTCGTATTAATAAATTAATTCTCTCCACTCTTGAAATTAGTCATTTTTGCAAATGTTTTTACTTTCTAGTCTTTGACAATTAAAATTTAATTATTTTCAAATAATTGTTCCAATTTTTGAATATTTTTCTTTAAAAAACAAGACTATTCTAAAAAATCTCAATACATTTTTTTAAAATATAAAATTTATTTCAATAAAATTTGACAAAATTTCCAATTGTTAAAAAATGTTTTTTAATTATTCTCGGGAATCCAAATACCTCGAACAAATTGTAATTAGAATTTTTCCAAATCAAACTTTTTCAGAATTTCTAAATTAAATTCTTATTGAATTTGTTAAATTATTTTAAATATCTACTTATCGTTATTTATCTTTCCACAAGAATTAAAATGATTTAAAATTACAATTTCAAATCTTCTGAAAGTTGAAATTATTAAAAATATAAAGAATGATTTGAATTGGTATTGTTTTATTGATTTCTAAAAATTTATATTCTAGGAACTTCAAACCTCAGAAGAATCAATCAAAACTTCAGCAGAATCGTTCAGGTTTACGTAAACCAGCAATTAATTCAGGAAAAAAGACTGATGCAAAAACTGCCGGTAAAAAGGATGACAAAAAGCCAGTCAAAAAAGATGATTCCAATAAGGTATTTTCTTCTGCTCAATACGAATAAGTATCATTTTTATTCACTTTGAACATTTTACAAGCATTTTGAAGTATTTTATTTGTAATAATCTTTTTTTGAGTCTCGTATTTTACGTTTTTTTTCTTTTAGGATAAAACGGAAACTGAAAAAGCAGAAGAAGTTGAAGAAAGGAAATTCGAACCATCTGGAATGGATAAAGATCTTGTAGATGTATTAGGTGAGTTTTAAACGATTAGAAATGTACCTAACAATTTAAATTGGAAGTAATTTGAAATTTAATAAATTCTGATATAAATAAAATAATAAATTTAATAACTTCTTTTTTCACAGAAAGAGATATTGTTCAAAAAAATCCAAATATTCACTGGGATGATATCGCCGATCTTCATGAAGCCAAAAGACTGTTAGAAGAAGCTGTCGTGCTTCCCATGTGGATGCCAGACTTTTTCAAAGTACAGAATTAAATCTTTTATTTTCTCAATTTACATTATAATTTCAAAAATAATTCCTCTATAAACATTTTCGTCATATTGAGAAAGTATTTTGAATTTTATTTAAAATTAAAAAAAAATAGTTGCTCCTTAAATTTAAAATTTAAATCATAAATTATTGAAAATTATCGATTATTTGAAACTAATTAATTTTCGTTAATTAAATGTTAATGAATTTATTTTTATCCAGGGAATCAGAAGGCCTTGGAAAGGGGTTTTAATGGTCGGCCCTCCTGGTACGGGAAAAACAATGTTAGCTAAAGCCGTTGCAACGGAATGTGGAACAACATTCTTTAACGTTTCGTCTTCCACTTTGACATCAAAATACAGGGGCGAATCCGAAAAACTGGTGCGACTATTGTTCGAAATGGTAAGTGACTGAAGAAGTATATAATTTAATATAATATAAACAAAATGTAAATAATTTTCCATTTCTTTCTCACAGGCCAGATTTTACGCTCCGAGTACAATTTTCATCGATGAAATAGACTCCTTGTGTTCTCGACGAGGTTCAGAATCGGAACATGAAGCTTCGAGACGTGTCAAGTCTGAACTACTCGTTCAAATGGATGGTATTAGTTCAAATAGGTAAATATATGTTTTTAGAAATGCTTTTCCAGGGTGTCTACTGGTCCTTGAAGTCCTGGAATTCCTGGAAATGTCCTGGAATTTGAAAAAATGTCCTTAAATGTCCTGGATTTTGAACTTTTGTCCTTGAATTTTCCATATTTTGCTTTTCAATATTCAATAATTTAAAAATTTTACTAAAATTTAAAAAAATAATTTTTTTGATCCATCAAAAAATAATTTTAATTTGTCATTTGATTTAAAGAAATGTATTGAAAACAATTGAATTGTATAGGAAAATTTTATTCAAATTGCAATTTAATGAACTAAATCTTGTAAAGAATTTTGTCAACATTTTTTTAAATAATAGAATTATTAAAAGAATTTTATTTAAATTTTTCGAAAATAATTGAATTTCGGAGAAGAATTTTATTATTTATAAAGATAATTGAAATTTGGACGAGAATTTTTAAAAATTTTTGAACATAATTGAATTTATGCGAAGTTATTTAAAATTTATTTAAAAAGAAATTATTGTCAAAAATAGACAAAATTGAAGGATTTGTATTAGAATTCTTGGCAATTTCATAGTTTATGCAGCAAACAAAAAAGACACCAAAATTCAGAATTTTCCTATAAATTTTAAAAATTAAATAAAAATCCCTGACTTTTGCCTGAATGTGCTGGAATGTCCTGAAAATATCCTGGAATTTTAAGTCATATTTTCAGTAGACACCCTGTTATTTCCCTATTTTAAAATTTTTTTTCTCGCCGAGTGAATCGCTACATTTTGCATAAAATAATTTTTTGAAAATTTTTCTCTTTAGTGAGGATCCAAGCAAAGTGGTTATGGTCCTTGCAGCTACAAATTTTCCCTGGGATATTGATGAGGCACTTAGGAGACGTTTAGAGAAACGAATATATATTCCATTACCTAATGGTACGTTATTTTTAATTCCGAAGCGTGTAAAAATTATTAATTAATATATATTTATTTACTTAATTAATATTTATTCATCTAATTAATATTTTATTTACTTATTTAATATTTAATTAAATTTTAATTTAATAATTTACTAATTGCTTTTTTAATCTTTCTTTAATTAATTGTTCACTAAATTTCTGTAACTGTTTGTCTTGTTCTTAGATGAAGGAAGAGAATCTCTTTTAAAAATTAATCTTCGTGAAGTGAAAGTGGACGTTTCCGTAAATCTTAAAGAAATCGCGAGGAAACTCGAAGGCTATTCAGGAGCTGATATTACAAATGTTTGCAGGTTTGTATTAGTTTGATTATATTCATCATATTATTGTTTGCATTTATTTATCATTTTTTATTTAATATTCAAATTTATTTTATTATATTTATTGTACTATTATTTACATTTATTTACTATTCGTATTTATTTTCTAATACTTCTTATTTTATTGTTTACACTCATTTACTTCGGATATTATGACTTTTTCGAATTTTTAAGAATATTTTTTAAAAAATGCGACATTTTCGACTTTTCTTTCATATATTGCAACAAAATACGGCATTTTTTAAGTATACAATGCAACTTCTTTCAATTTTTATACATAGTGTGAAAAAATTATTTTTGAATAATTTTTTTCGATAATTAAATTTTCCTAATATAACTGTAACTAAATTTTTTTGAATAATTGAAATTTTATAAAATTTAATTAAAAATAATTTATTCTTTTCAAGTATATTTTATTATATTTTTTTAAATTCAACTTTTGAAGAATTTTAATTGCAAATTTTGAAAATAATTGAATTATTTTCAAAATTTTTAATGAAAAATCTTCAAGTGTAAATTTAAAAATGAAAATTAGCTTCTAAAAATTATATTAAAATTATCTTTGAAAAAATCAATTCTTAGAATTTTTTTAATTATAATTTTTTAAAATTCAATTATTTTTAATATTTTAATTACTTATTTCCGAAAATAACAATATGAAGTATTTAAATATTTATTGAATAAAACTATTCAAGTTTCGAATAATTGAATCTAGAAACCAGTGAAAGGGTAAAATCAGGAAAATACAAAACAAATGATTCGTAATTATTTGATAATACTTGTAGAAAAATTACATTATAAAATATTTGAAACGAACTAAAAATTTGAAATTTTTCAGAGACGCGTCTATGATGTCGATGCGAAAGAAAATAGCGGGTCTGAGACCCGATCAAATAAGACAGTTGCCAAAGGAAGAATTGGACTTGCCAGTGTCTGCGGAGGACTTTGACGAAGCGGTGGAGCGTTGCAATAAAAGTGTTTCGCAGGAAGACTTGGAGAAATATGAAAAATGGATGAGTGAATTCGGATCGTCTTGATACCGCTGCTTCCAACTTCATTAAATAATGCAAATCCATTTTTTTCTATTTGCCTTAAAAAAACAAAAAAAAAACAAAAAAAAAAGAAAGAAAAGAAAAGATTGTGTTAACTGTTCCCGTGTAATACTAGATTAATAGAAAATTTAAATTCAGCGTAATATTTTAGATTTGTAGAGCTCAATTTTAACGTCTTCAAAACAATATTTATTTTTACTTTTTAAAATATATATTAATACATTAATTAATGCACAGTTTCTTGATTTTATTCATCAAAGATATATCTTTGTTTTAAAACTTTTTAAATCAACTTTTTTATATCTTCATTTGCGGATGATATGAATTTTAAAAATAATTCTAATTTGTTAACATCGAAACACCAATAAAAAAAATTACTCTTTGTTACAATGTGTAAATAAAATAGTTAATTCGTTAATAATCGTTTTTTTTAAATTCAATATTAGCAAATATTTCTTATAAAAATAATTTCGTTTACAATTTATCTAAAATTATTTTACAAACCGCTTTTGCATTTAAAATTAAAATAAATGTTTTTGTTTTACAGCAATTATATTTTTTTCATATTCACTTGTGTCTTTTAAGTGCGAATAATAACATAATAAATAAAAAAATGATCCTTTCGGACTAATAGTCAATTAAATATTTTTATAACATTTAAAAAAAATTAAACTAAAATCTTATTTTCAAAATTAAACTAAAAATTAAAATCTTAAGTATGTAGTAAAATTTGACTTTAAAATGAAATTATAGTTTATGAAATGAAACTGAAAAATAGGAGTATAATTTAGAAAATTAAACAAAAAAAAAAATTAATTACGATATTAAAGTAAAAAATGAAATTCTAATTTTTAAAATCAACTAAAACTTTTAAAATCTTTATTTGAAAATTTAACTAAGAAATAAAATCTTAATTTTAAAAATCAACTAAAGAATTAACTTTGAATTAACAAAATTATACTAAAGAATAAAATTTTTATTAACAAAATTATAATAAAAAATATAATTTGAATTTGAAAAATTAAAATTAATAATAAAAATTTAATTTTTAAAGTAAAACAAAAATAATTTTAATTTATTGAATTAAATTAACAAATAGGTTTCAATTTACATAATATGAAAATTAAATATTAATTTAATTTTTAAAAATATTTACTGAGCTTTGAGACTAAAATAAAATAAAAAAATTCCAATTGTGAATAAAAATCGTTTAGTTAATCATAATTTATATATTTTAATAAAATTTTTTCAGATTTTCTTTCAAAAAAAGAAGACAAGTTTTCCAAATAACACAAAATGACATTTAAATTTACCGCCATATAATAGGATTATGTTCGTATTTCGCTTCGGCCACGTTCGTAAAACTTCGTACATTTCCGAACACATCCGAATGGACGCGAGTCGCCATTTTGTCCGCCATTGTTGATTATCACATGTTTATCGCTGAAAAAACGCTCTACGGAATGATTGAAAATGTTTGTTTTTTTTAATCTTTACAGGTTCAATTTATTAATGACATGCAAATATTAATATAATTTAGATATTGTAATAATAGTTTTCCATTTTTATAACGTTATTTTCGTTTTTCGGTGTTATTATTCGGTAGTGTTTGAGAAAAACTAACCTTGTCAAAGTTTTATATGATTTTGACATTAGTTCGATATGGCGGTGTTTTTTTAAGCGGATGTGTGTGGTTAAAAGTTTTCGCGTTTTCGGGTTTTTTTTTCATTAATATTAATAGTGTGCGGTAATTTTGTCATTAAATAATGGAGGCGAGTGCGAGTACCGGGACTCGTGCGACGCGTTTTATGATGGAAGGTGTTGGTGCTCGTGTTATTCGAGGACCAGAATGGAAATGGGGAAAACAGGTTAACATTTAGGTTATCTATTTAAAAATGAGACAATGTTTTATGATATTTTTCTTTATTACTAGTCCCTCTTTTTCGAATGACAACTATTTTGATTGATTTTAATAATAATTGGTATTGTTTTTCACTTGATTGTGTTGAGAAATAGTTGTTGTTTGGAGAAATATGAGGCGAAAATAGATATGAGAATTTATTGTTTGGCATTTTTTTTTAGTTTATTTTCAATTGTTTTTTTTGTAGATTGTTAATATTCCTTATCGCATGTCTATTTTTTGTTTCTGACTTTAAAAATAATGATATGATCAGTTGTTTACACCTAGCGTCTAATTATAACCTTAATTTTCGCTGTACATCATTTGACGTATATTTTTGCATTATTTCATTTATTTTAAATAGTTTTCAATAATTTCTTTGTAGTTTATTTTCTTTTCAATATTGTTTTTTTTATTTTTCGTTTTTGAAAAAATTTGTGTACAAAAATGCAGAAAATTGGAAAAATTGGCGAAAAAAATACATTTTGGTGTTTTATAGCTTTTTTCTGACATGTTCTGACATTTTGATGCTCTTTTTTTTCTTAGGATGGCGGCGAAGGCCATGTGGGAACAGTGCGAAATTTTGAATCTCCAGAAGAAGTTGTCGTAGTTTGGGACAATGGAACAGCGGCAAATTATCGCTGTTCGGGAGCTTATGATTTGAGAATTTTAGACTCAGCTCCAACTGGTGTGAAGCATGATGGCACCATGTGCGACACGTGTCGTCAGCAGCCAATTTTTGGCATTCGTTGGAAATGTGCAGAATGTGGAAATTATGATTTATGTTCAATTTGCTATCATGGCGATAAACATCATTTGAGGCATAGATTTTATCGAATCGCAACTCCTGGTAGTGAACGGGTTCTTTTGGAACCTCGAAGAAAGAGTAAAAAGGTAAATAATAGTAAAATATTTCTTTCGTTTTTATCTAATATTTTCTCTTTATACGTTGAAAAGTTCAAAACGTTTGAAATATTAACGATTTAGAAGAATTTTTTTTTCTACTCTAATTTTTTTTATAAAAGTTTTGTACTTTTTTTCTCTATAATTTGAAATACAAAGCTTCCTCATAAGGGAGAAAAATATCTAAATAGTAATATTTAATTTACTGAAATTCATTGAATTCTTGCAAGTATTTATCAAAAATTTTGAAAATAATTTAATTCTTTTGATAAATCTAATTAAAATTGAATTGGAAATAATTGCATTCTTGGAAAGTATTTATAAAAAAATTTGAAAATAATTGAATTTTATAAAGAATTCAATTATTTTTAATAATTGTAATACAATTCTTTAGTCAGTTTAAAAATAATAAAAATCTTTGTACAAAATTCAATTATTTTTTATATAAATAATAAAATTCATATCAGGATTTCACATATTTTCAATACAATTTTAATTAATATCTTCAAAAATTTCAATTATTTTTAAAAATCTTGTAAAACTTATCCGAAAAAATTCAATTATTTAAAAAAATAATTAAATTTTCACAGGAGTTCAATTATTTAAAAAACTTTTAATAAAATTCAATTCAAGAATTCAATTATTTTCATAAAAATAATGAAATTTTCGCTGGAATTCAATTATTTTAAATACAATCTTAATTGAATTCCAGGAAAAATTAAATTATTTTTAAACATTTTTTTTAAATTCTTCGAAAAAATTCAATAATACCAATAAATAGTAAATTTTCTACTGGAATTCAATTATTTTGAATACAATTTTTATAAAATTATTCTTCTCAAAAATTTACTTATTTTTTTAAATTTTGCAAAAATTCAATTATTTGTAGAAATAATAAATTTTTTCGCAGGAATTCAATATTATTTAAAAAAGTTTTAATAAAATAAAATATTAGAGTTTTTGTAAACAATTTAATTTTTTTTGAAGAATTTCATTAAATTTCGTAAAAATAATGTAATTTTTTATAAAATAATAACATTCTTTATAATATAACTTAAAATTTTTTAAAGTAATTTTAATTGAAAATTTTGAAAATAATTGAAATTTACAGAGAATTTTATTAAAAAAGTTTTGAGAACAATTGAATTGTTTAGAAAAATTTCATTCCAATTTGTAAAAATAATTAAACCTGTTAGAGAAATTTTATTGAAATTATCTTGATCATATTTGAATTTTTTACCTAGAAATTTTATTAAAATTGTATTTAAAATAATTTAATTTCTCAAAAGAATTTTATTATTTACAAAACTAATTGAATTCTTGCCAAGAAATTGACAATTTATAAAAATAATTGAATTGATTCGAAGAATTGTATATCAGAATTATTGAAAATAATTGAATTGAAATAATATTTTTAAAAATAATTGTATTCTTTCGAGAAATTTTATTAAAATTATATTGTAAATAATTGAATTCCTCCGAAACATTTTATTATTTATGAAAATATTTTAATTCTTGCAAAGAATTTTCTTATTTATAAAAATAATTGAATTCTTGCGAAGAATTTTTTTTATAAAAGTAATTGAATTGTTTCCAAGAATTTTATCTGAATTTTTGAAAATAATGGATTTTTTGAAGGAATTTTATGAAAATTTTTGAAAATAATGATTTTTTAAAAAGAATTTCATTAAAATTGTTGAAAATAATTGAATTTATATTAAAATTCTTGCAAATAATCGAATTTAATTAATATTTTTAAAAATAATTGTATTCTTTCGAGAAATTCTTTAAAAATTTTATTATAAATAATTGAATTGTTTTAAAAAATTTTATTATTTATGAGAATATTGAAATTCTTGGGAAAAATTTAATTAAAATTTAAAATTAAAATAATAAACAAGAAGATTTAATATTATGTACTTAATAAGTGAATTCTTTAAATTTTGAATCTGTAATAATCCAAAAATTAATGTTTATTCTTGAAAATAAAAAATTTTTTAATTTAGAAAATAATAAGAAATGGAATACTACGTTCCGCGCGCTGGCGCTAGTTTTTTCATGTTTTTACAAATTTTTCTTTTTCTTCTTTAAACAAAAGAAAAATTTGTATAAACATTTTAATGTTTTTAGCATGAAAAATATTTTTTTTTTCTCAATCATTGTAAACTTTTGTTTATCTAATAAAACTTATAGGAATATAAATAAAAATTACAATTTTTGTTCCCAGCTTGCTTAATAATATTATCAATAACAAATATGGAAATTTAACATGAAAAAAATTTAATTTTCAAGAAAAGGTAAATTGTTGGGATTAAAATATAAAATTTGTTTTTAGATTGCCATTCGAGGGATATTTCCTAGTGCTCGAGTAGTGAGGGGAGTTGACTGGCAATGGGAAGATCAGGACGGTGGAAACGGTCGTCGCGGTAAAGTAAATGAAGTTCAAGATTGGTCTGCTGCCAGTCCACGTTCAGCAGCCTATGTAATTTGGGACAATGGTGCAAAAAATTTATATCGCGTTGGCTTCGAAGGAATGGTACGTGGTATTTAAATGTAATTTTTTTTAAATTTAAAGAAAAGACGAAAATAACAATTTCATATGTTCTTTGAAAAAAATAGGCTGACTTGAAAGTCGTAAGCGATGCAAAGGGACAAACTGTATATAGGGATCATTTACCTTTATTGGGAGAACAAGGTCCAGGACGAACGGGTCCTCATGGTTTGCAGATTGGTGATCAAGTTAGTATTTATTTATTTATTTATTTCGTACATAAAGTTTATTCTTTAAGTTCTGAACGTCAGTCCTCGGATATTATGACTTTTTCGACTTTTTTCGACTATTTTCAAATAATGCGACTTTTATCGACTTATTTTAAAAAATTGCGAATTGAAAACAAATCATTTTTCAAGTATTTTATTACAATTTTAGAAAATTAATTTCTAAAGAATTTTAATTGAAAATTTTGTAAATACTTGAATGCTCAAAAATTTTACTGAATAATCTTCAAGTGTATAAAATTCAAGTATATAAAATCTACAAAATTTTCAATTAAAATTCTTTAAAAATTAATTTTCAAAAATTGTAATAAAATACTTGAAAAATGATTTGTTTTCAATTAAATTTTCCAATAAATAAAAAAATTGTACAATGAAAATGAAAATTAATGAAAATTTGGTTCTAAAAATAATATTAAAATAGTAAAATTATTTTCAATATTTTCGTTATTCAATATTTTCAATATTTCCGAAAATTCAAATACGTACACAAAATAATAACATTAATATTTTTTAGAATTGGAAAAAATAATCATATTAAAAATTTTTAATTAAAATTCTTCAAGAAATTATTTTTTTTAAATTATACAAAAATTCTTCAATTATTTTCGAAAAATTACATCACAATATTTATAAAAAGCTAATTCTTAGAATTGTTTAATCATAATTTTTTAAGATTCAATTACCTTTAAACAAAGTAAATTAAAATTTTTAAAAATTTACTATTTTAGAGTTTTTGAGAAATTATTTAAAATTTATAATTAAAATTTGATTATTTTTTTGTTTTTTAAAAACTTAATTATTTTAAAAATATATTATCAAATTTCAATTACTTTGTTCTCAAAGATTTTACTTAATTTAAATTATTTTTTAAAAGATTGTACCAAATTTCAAGTTTTTGTACATTTTTTAATTCTATGTAATTTTAAAACTATTGTCTTTCAAAAATTATTTAGAAATATTTTTAAAAAAAAGTTAATTTTACGAATTTCTTTGTTAAAGATTTTGAAAATATTCTACCTTAATATCTTTAAAAAGAAAAATGGTCGGTTTCAATTATTATAAAAAAAATGAATTTTTGTATTGAAATAATTGAATTCTCGAAGAACTTTCGGAAAATTATTAAAAATTGATTTGGAGATGAAGTTTAGTTAAAAATTGTAGAAAAAAAATGAATTTTTAAAAAGGTTATAGTTTTAATTTTTAGAAATTATTAAATTTCAGAAGTTGAAATTTTCTAAATTTTATTTCCTGTGAAAAAAGAAATAAGAAGTATTGAAATATTTATTTATTAAATTTATACAAGTTTTGATTAATTGAATTCAGAAATCAGTGAAGAATCAGAGAAATACAAAACAAAATTTTTGTGACAACACAAAATTAAATAAATGACTTTTTCGACTTTTTTTCTATTTTTAATCGACTAAAGCGACTTTTTTTATTGTTAAAGTCGATCAGAGGCCTAAAACGTTCAAATTATCGAAATTTATTAATTTTTCTAAAGTATAATTGTATTACAAAAATTATGGGTATTGTATAAAAAAATTAATCACAGTTTCTAAATCTTAAATTAATGTTTTTAATTTATATTACAATCAGTAATTTAAGAAAATATTTTTGTTGAAAAATATTTCCTTTATTTGAACGTTTAAAACTTGTTAAGGAAACAAAATTTGAAATTCGTTCCAGTCGAAGCGTAAATTATTTACTTTTTATTTTAAATAAACGTTACATTTTAATAAAAATTACAATTTTCCGTACAGAACGTTCTTTTATTTTAATTCATGTTTTTTTTATTGATGGAAAATTTTTATTCAAAGGCAACTCTTATTTATTTATTTATTTATAGAGTTTAACTTTTGTTCTGATTTTGTTTCTTGACATTAAAATGTTATATCGCATATTTGAAATTATCATCCAGAGGTAAATATTAAAAGTTTATATTTAAAAATTTTGAATTGGAATATAAAAAATCCATGATAAAAATTCGCGCAAAAGTTGACGGACAGTTTCTGTTAAAAACGAAAAGAAATAAAATTGTAAAAATGAAAATTCTTTTCGTTAAATTAAAATTTAAATTCATATGTAAAATTTTCTACTTGTAGATTATATTTTTCTGTCACGATCAGAGAACGAATAAATAAAGTAAAAGAGAACTGACGTTAAAAATTTTGAATTATAGCAAAAAAAATTTATTATTCGTATTACTTTAACATCAACATTTGTTGCTATTTAATAGATTTATTTTACTCACAAATATTTTATATAAATATTTTTATAAAAACGATCAAACACATTAATCACTATTTATAAAAAAAATATTGGAAAAAGCAGAAAATTTTTTGAAATTTAAACTTTAATCTCATGAGAAGTGTGTCGAATAATTTTTTTTTTTTTTAAAATAAAAAACGCAATTATTGGAATTGGAGAATGTTTTTTTTAAATTGGATTTTTTGTCCATAGGTAAATGTTGATTTAGAATTAGAAATTGTTCAATCACTGCAACACGGACATGGCGGTTGGACAGATGGAATGTTTGAGTGCCTAGGTACCACTGGGACTGTTGTTGGTATTGATGAGGATCATGATATTGTTGTTTCATACCCTAGTGGTAATCGATGGACGTTTAATCCTGCCGTGTTAACCAAAGTTCAAATACCAGTGCCTGTAACCAGTTCCAATACCGATAATCAAACTTTCGCTGTTGGCGATTTAGTTCAAATCTGCAATGATATAGAGAAAATTAAATTGCTACAGCGTGGTCATGGTGAATGGGCGGAGGCAATGGCTCCAGTAAGTCTATGAAAATTGTATTCTTTTGTCAATAATTATATTTTAATGAGGGGGGGCTGGTGGGATTTTTTCAATAAAGGAGAATAAATAGGATTTTTGTTCGAATTCCAAAAAGTTGGAGAATTAAAATGGGTTTATAATTAGAAGGGTTTTCACAGGTCAGAATATTGAGGGAAAAGTGAGGGATTTTTATTGAAAGTACTGGAAAAAATTTAATTTTTAGAATTCATAAGAAAATTATGAATTTTGGTTTCTTTTTTCTTTGCATCATAAACTATGAAATTACCACGAATTCTAATACAAAGCCTTCAATTTGTTCTATTTCTGACAATAATTTCTTTTTAAATAGTAACATAATTCTTGAAGAATTAAGAAAACATTATTACTTAGAAATTATTTAATGAATAATTTTTCTTAAATATTTCAAAAATTAATTGAATTTTAAAAGAGTTAGTTGCGTTTACAATTTTCATAAATAGATGAAAAGGTTTTAATTTTAAATTTTAGAAAATTTTCAATTTGTAATGAAATTACAAATTGTAATTAGAAATTGTAAAGAACATAGATTTTTGCGAAATTTTAATAATTCAAATTTCAAATTCTTCTGAAATTAGTTCAATTTTCTAATATATACTTAACTAATTATTAAAAATAATGGATTTATATGTATAAGAATTTTAGTTAAAAACTCTAAAAAGAATTAAATTTTGGATAAGTTACAAATGATTTCGTAAATTAAATAATTTTCAAAAGCAATAAAATTCTTCGCTAAAATTCAATTATTTACAAGAATTTTAATAAAATTCTTGGAGAAATTTCAATTATCTTTATAAATAATAAAATTCTCTTCCAAAATTCAAATATTTTCAAAAATTTTCCTCAATTTAATGATTTTCAATATCTACTGTTTTAATAAAATTCTCCAAAGAATTCAATTATTTATAATAAATTTTCATAAAATTCTACGCAAACAGTTAATTATTTGCATAAATAATAAAAATTTCACAGGAATTCAATTATTTACCCTTTTGTTTAAAATAAATTTCTTGGCAATAATTAAATTATTTTCATAAATGATAAAATTTTTTACAAGGATTCAATTATTTTCATAAATAATAACATTTTCTTTACGAATTCAATTATTTTAATAAATTATAAAACTCATTGCAGTAATTCAGATTATTTTTAATATAATTTTAATCAAATTCCTCGAAAAATGTAATTATTCTACTAAAAATTTGATTAAAATTCGACAAAAGGATTCAATTATTTAAAATTTTTTTGATAAATTCTTTATAAGAATTAAGTTTCAAAAAACATTTAATTATTCAATAAATTATTTATTTTTGTATTTAAATAATTTAATAATTTTGAAAAGGTTTCAAATTAAAATATTTGATAATTTGAATTTTCTATATTTTTAACTGGCAATTTTGAAGAAGATAAATTTCAATTATCTTTACAAATACAAATAATAAAATTCTTCTCCAAAAATCAATTATGTTAAAAAATTTTAATAAAATTCTTGGCAAAAGTTCAATTATTTTCAAAAATTCTATTAAAATTCGTCGAAAGAATTCAATTATTTAAAAATTTGTTTTGAGAAAATTCTTTGTGAGAATTCAATTTTAAGAAAAATTCAAGTATTCAATACATGAATTATTTATTTTTGTATTTAAATAATTGAATTTTCGTAGAATTTTTTAATAAATATTGAATTAAACATAAATTTCAGTTAAAATTTGAGATAATAATTGAATATTAAAAGCATTATATCATGAATTTTTTAGAAATAATAGAATTTTGAAAAATTTTTAAATTGAAATCTTTGAATTAAAAAAATTAAATTGTAGAGAAGTTACAAAAAATTGCAAAAAATCAATTATTTTCAAAAGTAATAAAACTCTTTGCAGAAATTGAATTTTGTTCAAAAGTAATAAAATTTTTCTCAAAAATTAAAAAACAATTTCATCGAAATTTCAATTTTATTTATAAATATTAAAATTTTTCTCCGAAATTAAATTATTTTCATAAATTTTAATAAAATTCATGTCAAAATTTCCATTGTTTTCACAAATTTTCCTGAATTCAATGATTTTTAATATCCATTATTTTTAATAACATTTTTCAAAAGAATTCAATATGTTTAAAAAAAATGTAAAAAAAATTCTACGCAAACATTTAATTATTTTTACATGTAAATCATAAAAATTTTACAGGAATTTAATTATTTACAAATTTTTTCATAAATTTCTTAGCAATAATTCAATTATTTTAATAAATAATAAAATTCTTTATAGGAATTCAATTTTTTTCATCAACAATAAAACTCATCACAGAATTTCAATTATTTTAAATACAATTTTAATCGCCCTTCTCAAAACAAGAATTTATTCTGAAAAATTGTATTCAAATTTATCAAAAGAAATCAATTATTTAAAAATTTTATTGATAAAATTTTTTATAAAAATTGAATTATTTTCATAAAGAGTATAATTCTTTTTAACAACACAATTATTTTTTCTCGTAGAATTTTCTAATAAAAACTTATTTTTAAATATGAATTTTAGATAAAATTTTAGATAATAATTGAATATTAAAAGCATTACAGCTTGAATTTTTAGAATGAATTGAATTTTGAAAAGGTTTTAACTTAATATATTTGAAAATCTGCATTTTTTATTCTTTTAATTAACAATTCTGTAAGAACTAATTTTTTTTTTGAAAAATTTTAATTCCAATTCTTTTTAAATTTTTTGACGTTTTTAATTTTTTATTTTCTAAAATATATTTAATTGAAGAATTTTCGAATAATCGAAATTTTATAAAATTGAATTGTAAACAAATGGATTTGAAAATTTTTCAAAGAACTTTTTCCAAAATTACTAAAAATAATTGATTTTAGACGAGATTTTAGAAGAATTTTAGTTTAAAATTCTAGAAAATAATAATTTATTTCAAATGATGAAATTAATTTTGAAGAAGTTGCAATGACAATATTCTCATATATAATTTTATAAAATAATATTTTATTTTGAATAAAACTATTTATGTTTTTGAATAATTTTATAATTAAAGAAATTCGTAAATAAATGTAATAGAACATCTTTTAAGTATCTAATAATGTTTAGAATGAAGCAGAATATTCTTTAGAGTTGCGGAGAGAGTCAAAATTTTGTCTGGAAATCAGGGAAAAGTCAGGGAAAAATAAAATCAAATTTTTGTGGCAAACCTGAAAATTTATTTTGCTGAAGTGGAAAATAATGTTAATTAAATATTTACTTAGTTAAGGATTAACTTTTTTAATATACACAATGATTTTTTCTTATAAAATACAAATTAAAAATGATTAATAAATCTCTAATCTATGTTTCGAAGCGAACGAATTACAAATTATGTTTGTAATAGATTGATATCTATTACAAACTAAACATAATCTGTAATTCATTCGTTTCGAAAATCCTTTTTTACAGTGTTTCGCATATTTATTAATTTTGACGATTTTTCCTTTTTCAGACTCTTGGCAAAATTGGAAGAGTACAACAAATTTATCACGATGGCGATCTCAAAGTTGATGTTTGTAGCACAGCTTGGACTTATAATCCTCAAGCTGTGACTAAAGTCGCGAGTAGCGATGGTAGTGTACCAGGAAACAGTAGTGGAGGTTTGTTTACTTTTAAAATTGTTTTTATTATTTTCATAATCAAAACGTAGTAGTGTATTTTTGATAGTATTTAATTGATAATAATAATTTTAAATAATTGAAACAAAATTTGAATTTCAGAACGTTTATCTGCCTTATTAAAAAAATTGTTCGAAACGCACGTTTCTGGAGATGTAAATGAAGAGCTGGTGAAAACAGCAGCGAATGGCGATGCGACAAAGTGTGAAGAGTGCCTAAAACGACCAGAGGCTGATGTTAATGGTGTATTTGCTGGTCATACGGCACTGCAAGCTGCAAGTCAAAATGGTCATTTAGAAGTGATTAAAATTCTACTTCGCTACAAAGCCGATGTCGAAATTGAAGTAAGTGCTTTTGTTCTTGCAATTTTATCACATTTTTTTACATTGTTACATCGAATTTATTTTTTTATCTACTTTTTTTGTTATCTCTGTCGCTTTATTGCTATGTAAAGTCCCTTTTACCTGAGAGTGTTATTAACCAGGGTGGCCACATGTCAGTAAAGTCAGTAATGTCAGTAAAACAAAATTTGGGTTTGTCAGTAAAGTCAGGGAAATGTCAGGAGAAAAATTTTTTGTCAGGGCAATTTACAGGGTTGCCACAGGTCAGGAAATTCAGGGAAAAGTCAGTGAAATTCAATTATTTTCAAAAGCTATAAACTTCTTCGCATAAATTCAATTATGTTCAAAATTTTTTTTAAATTCTCGTCAAAATTTCAATTATCTTTATAAATAATAAAATTCTTCCTCGAAATTCAATTATTTTCAAAAAATTGAATAAAATTCTTCGCAGAATTTAAATTATTGCTAAAAATTTTCCTCATTTCAATTATTTTTAATATCTACTATTTTAATATAATTTTCCAAAGAATTCAATTACTCAAACAAAATTTTAATAAAAGTTTCACAGAAATTCAATTACTTACCAATTTTTTTTTATAAATTTCTTCGAACCAATTCCGTTAATTTTAACTTTTTAATGAAGTTTCTCAAAATAATTCAAATATATTCAGAGAATTGAAAAAAAAATAGTTCTGAGAAATTCAATTATTTCGAAAAATTTAAAAATAAAATTCTTTTAAAAATTCTATTATTTAAAAAAATGTTGACAAAATTCTTTACAAGATTTAGTTAATAAAATTTACCTATACAATTCAATTATTTTTAATACAATTCTTCATAAGAATTCAATTATTTAAAAAATTGGAATAAAGTACTTCGCAAGAAATCAATCAGTTTCATAGATAATAAAATTTTTCTCGAGAATTCAATTATTTAAAAAAATTTTGATAAAATGCTTTGTAAATTTGAAAAATTATAACAAAATTGATCATAGAATACAATTATTTTCGTAAAATATAACATTCTTCCTAGGAATTCAATTATTGTCAAAAATGTTTGTAAAAATCTTCGAAGTAAATCAATTATTTAAGATTATTTTAATAAAATTCTTCCTAGGAATTCAATTTCCTTTCAAAAATAAACATTTTTAAAGGAATTAAATTATTTAAAAACAAATTTTTTTAAATTCTTCTTCAGGTTTCAATTATTTTCAATTCTTTAATGAAATTTTTCTCGATGGAATTTAATTATTTTCAAAAAGTTTTAAAAAATTCTGAGAAATTCAATTATTTTAAAAAATTTGAATAAAATTCTTCAGAAGAAATTAATTATTTTCATAAATAATAATATTCTTTTCCAGAATTCAATTATTTTCACAAATAAATTTTTTCATAGGAATTCAATTCTTTAAAAAAATTTTAATTAAATTTGTTGCGAAAATTCAATTATTTTTTCATATAATTCTGAAAATTGAATTTCAAAATCTTAATTCCTATAGAAAAATAAAAAAAATGATTTAATATTTATTTAAAAAAGAAGTTATTAATGTTTTCGAATAATTTTACAATTAAAGAAATTTGTAAATAAATGTAATAGAACATTTTTTTGAGTATCTAATATTTTTTGTAGTGAATCAAAATATTCTTCAGGGTCAGGGAAAAAGTGAAAATTTTGTCTGGAAATCAGGGAAAAGTCAGGGAAAAACAAAATTAAATTTTTGTGGCAACCCTGATTTAGAAAATTGGGATTTTTTCTACTTATTTTTAAAAATTGCGACTTTTTCGAATTTTCTTTCCAAATATTGCAACAAAATATCATATTTTTTAGTATTAAATGTAACTTATTTTGATTTTTATAGAGCGAAAAATAACTATAAACAAATTTTTCAAAAATTATTTTTGAATCACTTTTCTATTTAAATTTTCGAAATATACAAATAAAAAGATTTTGAATAATTGAAATTTTGTAAAATTTAATTGAAAATAATTGATTTTCTTGAGTATTTCATTAAAAATTTTGAAAATTAAATTTTGAAGAATTTCAATTGCAAATTTTGAAAATAATAGAAATTTCAAAAAATTTCAACAAAAAATTTTCAAATGAAAATTTGAAAATGACAATTAATGAAAATTTGTCTTCAAAAGATTTGTTAAATTATTTATTTAAAAAGTATAATTACAATTTTTTTCATTATAATTTTTTAAAATTCAATTATTTTTAATATTTTCAACTATGTATCCGAAAATTTACCTGTCAACAAAAAATAATTACATTACAAATTTTAGAATTATTTAAATTTTAAGGAAATTAATCATTTTCAAAATTTTTAATAAAAATTCTTGAAGCAAAATTTAAGTAATTATTAAATTGCTCAAATATTCTTTTTTTAAAATGAATTATTTTCGAAAAATTACATTACTTTAATTTTAAAAAACTAATTCTTTAAATTTGTCATAATTATTTTTTAAAATTCAATTATTTTTATAAATAAGTAAAAAGAAATTTTTTTAAAAATCAACTTTTCTAGTCTTATTTTTAAAATTCTGAAAAAATCAATGATTTCCGAAATTTGTAATAAAAGATTCTTGAAAAAATTGATTAATTTTTAAATTGCTTAAATATTCTTTTTAGAAACTGAATTAATTGAAAATTTTTGAAATAATTGAAATTTATTTATATTCTATTAAAAATAATTAACTTCTTTTAAAGAATGGAAGTTAGTCACCGTAATTAAAATTTTATTTTTAAAAATTTCTTCGCAATATATTCAAAATCCTCGAAAGAATTCAATTATTTCTAGAAACTGTAAAAAAATTTTTCTCAAGAATTCAATTATTTCCATAAATAGCAAAATTCTTCTGATTTACTAAATTCTTTTGAATATTATTTTAAAAAAAAATGCTTCTTAAGAATTCAATTATTTTCATAAATTTTCATAAAATTCTAAAAAACAATTTAATTATTTTCAAAAGTAATAATCAAATTTTCAATTATAATTATGAACAGACAAGATTATTTTAAAAAATTGAAAAAATTCTTTATTTAATTCAATTATTTTCCAAATTTTTAATTAAAATTATTTAAAAAAACATTATTTTCAAAAAGTTGAAAGAAACTTGTTGAATATTGTTGAACTAAAATAGTAAACACCCTGAATATCCAATTTAGGTGTAGTCAGTGTTTTTTCTCGCGTATTATACTCCTTGGCAAATTCAGCCATTCACTTATTGCCAATCTTATGGCTATGTCGACTCTATGTAAAGCGTAAAGAATCAACAAGAACGTTACCCAAGGCAAACTGGTTGTAAAGACCGGGAATCAAATTACAGCGAAGGGTAAAAAGTCGTTGTTGCGGTCTTAATGGACCTATTGTAGTGGAGTCAAGATCTTCCCCTATTGGACCAAGGGGTTTTATTCTAATTCTCCCTGTCCAGTTGAAAACATAACCCCCAAAAAGTCTTCCATTTATACTGACTGTTGATCGTTCGCAATTTCTGTCCATTAATTTTGAATTGTGTCGTTTCTTTTCTATTCCTGGTCGGAAACCCCGAGTGAAGCTTCAGTCAATTTTAATTGAAATTTCATCACTAGGGAGAAATTTGCAGACAATGTCATTAGTGGATATTAGATGTTAACCCCTCAGGTATAATTGCGTGTAGACTGTAGGTTATGGTGTCATTAATAAATTAAGAGGGACGAAGATTAGCTAAAATAGTCTCTGGGTTGAAAAGTGAAATTTGGTGTTGATATGTGACGGGATCTTTTTCAATCCGCCATATTGCGTTCGCCATTTTGAATTTGGAAATTTGCTTATTCAATTAATTTCAATATCTACTATTTTCATGAAATTTCGCAAAAGAATTCAATTATTTAAAAAAAAATTGATAAAATTCAAATATCTTCATAAATAATAAAATTTCCACAGGAATTCAATTAATTTAGAATAGCATTTTCAGAAAAAATTTCGGAAAAATCAATTATTTAACAAAACTTTTATACAATTCTTCACAATAATTCAAATACTTTCACTAATAATAACATTTTCCATGGAAATTCAATTTTTTAAAAAAATTGTTGATAAAATTCTAAGCAAGAATTCAATTATTGTCAAAAATAATAAAACTCATCGAAAAATTATTTATTTAAATTTTAAAACAATTTTTATAAAATTCTTATGAAGAATTCAATTATTTTCAAAAATAACAAAATTTTTTAATTATTTTTAAAAGTAATAAATTTTTTCTTGGAAATTCAATTATTTTCATAAATAATAAAAAACTTTTTAGGAATTCAATTATTTTCAAAATTTTTTAATAAAATGCCACACAGACATTTAATTATTGTCAAAAATTTTTAAAGAATTCTTTGTAAAATTTAATTATTTTTAAAAACATTTCGCAATTCAATGATTTTCATTATCTAGTATTTTCATAAAACTTCAAAATAGAATTCAATTATTTAAAAAAAATTTTGTAAAAATCTTTGTAAAAAATTGATAATTTTAATAAAATTCTTAGCAACTATTCAATTATTTTCATAAATAATAAAATTTATCGCAGGATTTTAATTATTTTAAATATAATTTTACAGGAATTGCTCAAAAAATGTAATTATTCTTAAAAATTTTATTTCAATTCCTCAAAAAAATTTATTATTTTATAAAATTTTTTTTTATAATTCTTTGGAAGAATTCAATGAATTACAAAAACATTTAAATTTTTTCACAGGAATTCAATTATTTTCAAATATTTTAATAAAATTATTCGAAAGAATTGAATTATGTCGATAAATTACAAAATTATTTCCGAAAATTCATTTATTTTGAGGTATTTTAATAAAATTCTTTGTAAAATTCAATTATTTTCATAAATAACAACATTCATCACAAGAATTCAATTATTTTTAAAAGTAATAAATTTCTGCATGGAAATTCAATTATTTTAAAAAATTCAAATAAAATCGTTCGCAAAAATTCAATTATTTTCTGAATAATAAAATGCTTTTTAGGAATTCAATTACTTTTAAAAAATTGTATTAAAATGCCGCACAGAAATTCAATTATTCTCAAACATTTCAATAGAATTCTTTGTGAAATTTAATTATTTTTAAAAACTTTTCGAAATTCAATGATTTTTAATATCTACCATTTTCATAAAATTTTCAAACAGAATTCAAGTATTTAAAAAATTTTTTGTAAAAATCTTTGTAAGAATTCAATTCTTTTTATCAAAAATAAAAATTTCTCAGGAATTCAATTATTTAAAAATTTTTATAAAATTCTTCGCAAGAATTAAATTATTTTAATAAGTATTTAAATTCTTTCATGAGCAATAAAATTCATTGCAGGAATTCAATTTATCACCAGGATAGGAAAGAAGTAAATATTTTTGCTGAAAATTAGAATTTTTGTCAGTTTTGTGAAGTATTTAAAACGAGTTTTTTTGGTCGTCAAGTTTAATTTTTTGTTAGCTACTTTTCTACTACTTTTCTATGTTCTATTTTTTAATTGTGAGCAAACAGAGTCAATCATCATTGGATAAAAAATAGGTATTTCAAAGCTGACAGACGTGACTTGAAGTTAGTTGCAGAAAGCATATGTATGCGCGAAGTATGTCTGGATTTGTGAATTTTTTCAATATTGTCCGAATTCGATATTCCATTAATTTTTTTTTAACAAAATTGGTAAATTTCTAAAAAAAAAATTGCAGAATTCTTGTAGCTCTGTTCTACAAAAACTTAATGGAGCTTTAGATTTCTTTGATGGCCTCGAGGGCCGCTGTACAATGCACTGTCTGCACCTACGACGTTATGGACCTTACCATTCCATGATTAACATAGTGAATCCCTTGTTAATGTCTGCATTTAGAGTTGAAATATATTTTCTTTAGATTACGTTTCATTATGCTGATTATGCTGATCTGTTCTTCTGAAAGTCAAACTGGTACTTTGGATTAAGCTTGCGTTGCTCTAGGAAGTGTTCTAGTCTATACTGTGAACTAAGCGTTATATTAACTTTCCATTAGCCGAAATCCGATGGCCTAAAATCTTTGTGGATCTAAAGTCTTTGTTCCAAGACTTCGGAGAGCATAAGTCTCTTGCAGGGTCTGTGAATAACAAATATTAGCCAAATCATTTCTAATCTAATTCTGCCCATCCCGAATGCTACATTATGTAGCATTCGGAGATTATACGTACTATTGGTTAGGAATAACTGGTAAAATTTAGTTATGTTGGTGGTAGAGGCGCTGAATTTTGCCATTTCCATGATGATCTAATTATTAGGACCTAATAAGATCCTAAAGACTAACGATATGACATAACATTACTGACCCTCGGCAATTAAGGGATTTACTGATCAATTAGTACTGTCCTATAATTTGTTTCGGTGTTTTTTTGTAAAAGAAATTTTGATATCGGAAAAAAAGTTGATACAAGCTAACATTATACTCTTTTACAAAAAAGTTAATAATAGTGGGTAATATTCATAATAAAGTTTGTGATTAAAAAGAATAACAATTCTAAAAGATAAGAAGTTAATGACAAAAGTGGAGGATTTTTTGTTTTAGAAAGATATGGAACATTATAGTTGGCAGTCACACTTAAAAGTTTTAATCTGATTGCAGGACAAAGACGGCGATAGAGCGGTTCATCACGCTGCTTTTGGCGATGAGCCCGGTGTGATGGCTCTTCTTGCCGGTGCTGGAGCAGATCTCAATGTTCGAAACAAAAGACGACAAACAGCTCTTCATATCGCGGTTAATCGGGGCCACGTTGGTGTTGTGAGGACTCTTCTTGAATTGGGCTGTCATCCTAGTCTACAGGTTAGTCTCTTTTATTACTTTTAAACTTCTTAATTTATTACAGGTTACTTTTCCAAGTATTTCCACATCCAGAAATTCTAATTTATCGCCGTCAAAACTTCTGAAACTCGGTTGTTTTGTAGTTTAAGACCTCATGAACAAAAAATGTTAATGCCAAAATTCAAAATAATGTACTGTTTTTTAGCTACAGTGACTCAAAGTTACAACATAATGATAAATGAAGAAAGCTTTTGCGGATGTTCCGTTCTTAAAAAATCACTCGAATTAAGTCAAAAATGTTGCTTGGCAGGTTTTTTAGGTTCTTGATTACAAATCAAAAGTCAGAATTTAAGAATTCAATATGACGAACAAAACCTTAGTTATTGCAGGCTTCACAGTCTGTCCTCTATTTCCCTAAAAGTCCCCTTTTTCAATTTTGGCCCCTAAACGTACCCTATTTTGAAAATTTACCCTAAATTTCCCCTATTTTTTTCGTCGCAGGAAATTAATTTCTTTTCAATAATTTTTAAGTAATTCTGCAAAAGAATTCAATTATCTTGATAACCAACAAAATTCTCCGCATAAAATCAATTATTCTAAGGATTTTTAATGAAATTCTTTTCCAAAATTCAATTATTTTGATAAATATCAAAATTCTTCTCAAGAATTCAATTATTGTCAGAAAATTTAATTAAATTCTTGGCAAAATTTCAATTATTTAAACAAAATTTAATAAAATACTTGGAAAGAATTCAATTATTTTTATAAATTTTAATGAATATCTCGTCAAGAATTCAATTATTTTTATAAATATAAAAATTTTCGCCAAAAATTCAATTATTTTCAAAAATTTTAATAAAATTCTTTGCAAAATTTCAATTATTTTCAAAAGTTTTTCGCAATTCAATGTTTTTAAATATTTACTATTTTCATAAAATTTATCAACAAATTTAATTATAGACAAAAATTTGTTGATACAATTCTACGAAAAGATTCAATTATTTTCATAAATAATAAAATTTCATTTACGAATTCAATTATTTTTAATTGAATCATCGCAGAATTTCAAATATTTTTAATACAATTTTAAATAAATTCCATGAAAAAATGCAAATATTATTAAAAATTTTATTAAAATTTAAGGAAAGAATTCAATTTTAAGGAACATTCAATTATTCAATAAAATAATAAAATTCGTTGTAATAATAATTCAAATATTTTCATAAATAACATTTAATTCGCCGCAGAAAATCAAATATTTTCAAAAAATTTTAAATAATTTTGCAAAAGAATTCAAATAGCTTGATAAACAATAAAATTGCACAAATTCTTCCCATAAAATCAATTATTCTAAGGAATTTTAATAAAATTCTTTTCCAAAATTCAATTATTTTGATAAATATCAATATCCATCGCAAGAATTCAGTTCTTTTGAAAAGTAATAAAATACTTTGCAGAAATTAAATTATTTTCAAATTTTTTTGAAAATTCTCGTCAAGAATTGAATTTTCTTTATAAATAGATAGGGAAATTCTTTTCAAGAATTAAATTATTGTCAAAAATTTTAATAAAATTCTTTTTATGAATTCAATTATTTTCAAAAATTATTATTTAAATTCTTCTTAGGAATTCAATTAATTTTAAAAAATTAAATAAAATTCTTCAAAAAGTTTTTAATTATTTTCAAAAATTGTTATAAAATTCTTTAATATAATAAATTTCATTAAAATTTTAATTAAATTCCTCAAAAGAAATTAAATATTTTCAAAAGTTGTTAATACAATTCTTCGTAAAAATTAAATTTTAAGAATCATTGAATATTATTTATTTTTGTATTTAAATAATTGATTTCTCGTAAAATTAAATTATTGTTTTTCGTACTTTTAACTAACAATTCTGAAGAATGAATTTTTTTGAAAAAGTTTAATTGAATAATAATTGATGTTATTGATTTAAAGTAGAATTTTAGTTAAAATTTCTAGAAAATGTTAATTGAATTGAAATGATACAAATAATTTTGAAGAAATTTTAGTAACAATATATTCTTATAATAAAAAACTAATGATTTTGTCAGTCGGTCATCTTTAATTATTATAAAACATAAAGAAATGATCCATTTCTTTATATTTTATAATAATATTCTTATGAGTTGTTCAGTTTGAAATTTTTGAACATCTTAATTCCAATGAAAAGAAAAGTTATTATTAAATATTTATTTTAAATAAAACTATTGATGTTCTAGAATAATTTTACTTTTAAGAAATTTGTAAATAAATTTAATACAAAATTATTTTGAGTATCTAATAATTTTGAGAGTGAATCAGAATATTCTTTAGGATCAGGGAAAAAGTTAAAGTTGTGCTTGGAAATCGGGGAAAAGTCAGGGAAAAATAAAATAAAATTTTTGTGGCAACCCTGTATAAATAAATTATATTTTTATCTTTATTTGACCAATTTTTATGGTCCCCTAAAAAGTCCCCTATTTTTAAATTTTTAGTCCCCTATTTTCCCTAAAATACTTTTTAGGGGCACTGTGAAGCCTGTTATTGTTTTTTGTGTTTCTCTTAAGCTTTATGCTTTAAATCCAGTATTTTATAGCTGGTTGGGAATCAAGTTTTGCGAAGAGTTGAAAAAAAGAATTATTCTTTTCGAGCACCAAAAACGGTTCAGCCATTTAACAAACAATTTAACTTAAATTTAACAAAAGCCGCTTTGCGTTCGACTTGATAATCAATCGAATTGCCTTTATATTATGCCAAATGCTCCCTCCCTCTGATCAGAGTATACGGGAATTCATCTGATTCACACGAAATATTCGCTTCAATAAAACAATAATTAAAACAAAAATTTTAATAAAATTAACACACTAAAAATTAGGTCGTGCGAATGAAAGCCAATAATTAAATTCAATAAATTTCTATAAATTAAAGAATAGGTCGTGCAAATAAAAGTCAATGATTAAATTGATTTTTCATTTAATTTTGTTGAATAAGCAACTGGAGATGGTGAATGTATAATTTGAAAATTCATTCACAGTTAGTGATACGTCGACAGTTGGACAGTTGAGAAGTTTGGCAAGTGGTGGGCGGAATCGGATTTGGTGAAATATTGCGTTGCTAGAATACAAACATGCATAGGATATACGCAGAAAGTTGGTGAGAAGGGCTAAAAGAGAAGGGACGGGGTTGTTTATTTTATTCTTGAACTGTCTGAAACTGATATATTGGTTAAACCTCCACTTTCTACTCTCAAAACACTCCCCCCCCTCTCTTCATCCCTCTCTCATCCACCTCACACCTCTTCAATGATTTATGCTTTTGTGGAGTTACGTAACCGAACACAACCCAGTTTTCTTTCCTTCTTTTAGCATCGCCTCGATCTTCTTTTTCTCTCCCCCAACAGAAAACGTTCTGCCTGATAACGGCTACGCCAAATCCTCTTAATCCAGAGTAACCATTTTTTACTGTGGTTTAAGCTCAACTCGCTTTTATTCCCTGCCTTTCAGATTGTCTCTCTTTGCCAGTTATCTTGCAAAAAAAAGCACTGAAAGATGCATTATTCATAATATGAATAAATTTATTTACATTCTGTTTCTTCATTAATATTTCAGTTAGTTTATTTTATAAATGAGAATTTATTTATAACATAGACGGTGGGTTTTGAACGGCGTTTGCTAAATTGAAAGATGCAATTTTTATTTTGGGTATTTGTTTTTTTAAATCTACTAACCATTTGGGGGATTTCGCGGAAAATGATGCGGGGTTTATAGGTTTATGCGTGTCAGACTTTAGCACGGCTTTGAACTAAGGGGACAGACTAGGGAAATTAATTATAATCAGATGTAGGTTTTAGTTTCGACTTATGGCTGGATATATTATAGGCATACAGATATAGATTTTATAAGTATCTTGTCAAGTCAATAAATAGTTATCTTCTTTATTAACTTGTCATTACATCTATTGATTGATTTTCAGTAGATTATCAACAGATTGTAAATTAGTTAATGAAGTTGCATTAAATTCCGTCCAAGAATTTCGCAATTACTCGCAACTACCGATTTTCTCAAATATCCACAATCTTATCGGGGAATTCTGACAAACCGATTCCGTTATGCAAAACGGTCCACTGAACAACGAACAACCAAATGAACTTTTCAAACAAGACCGTTGAGACGTTACCAATATTACTCTACTCTCCTCCGGTTCTTAATGACTGAAAACTCATTAAAACACAAAGTTAACAAAACAATTTATTAATAAAAACTAAAATTTGAATTAATTAACAAAAACTACAAAATTAATCAAAACATCTCGATAATGACACTCGTCAAATTGCGTCACGACTTCTTGGAGATCCGCATGTAAGTGTCGATCTAGCTGATTAACTTGGGTAGGTTTCCTAATTATCAATTAGTTTCCTTGTTTTCCCTTCGTAAATTTTGGAGGAACCCTTCTTCCTTTTCCCTACGGAACTGCGCCTAAAAGAGACTAGGAAAGGATCCCTGATCATGTGACGTACGCTGACAATTGATCATGCGCAAAATCATTCAAATTTAGATTTCACGAAATTAAAGTTTTTATTTGAATCCTTTACAATTAGAATGAGAGAAAAAAAGTAGATCCACATGTCTTCAGGGACACTGGATCAAAATTAGAAGTTTGTGGAAACAATCGACAATTGAAATGGGGACAAAATTTAAAAGTATTAGTTATGCTTACCTTTTAGAATTATTCTTAGAATCGTAGACCCAACAAGCGATACCTCCTAACGGAAACAGACAATGCAGTAGATTTCACTCAAAATAGATCCAAAATAGATTTTTACGTTTTGCTGCCAGAAGGTTGGGTATATTTCATGAGCAGTTTAATCATGATTATCATGAGTTGCGATTAAAGTTAAACCTACCGAAAATTGAATCTGTATTAGTGTATACTGATTTGTATACAAATCAGTATATTTTTTATATAGATTGATACATGGCTCAATAAAATGTCCGGCGTTATTGTCAAAATTTTGTTTTT